ACAAAAGTTACAAGAACAAAGATTTCCTTGAGACGAATCCAATACCTGTATATACATGTCTATGGCATGGTAGAGCTCATCATAGGAGTCTCTTGCCGAATCCGGCAGGGCGATAGCTAAAGCCAGAAACTTTGAAGGCTTCAAACAAGGATCTGGGGCTACTTCTGCTATATACAAATCAACCAAGCCAGAAACTTTCCTTAATCGCATTGGAGACGCTTGACAGGTTCCTCCGTCACGCAGAAATGATTTCAAGAACCTTAGAACAAGATTGACATCATACAAGTAATTGATTCCTTGTGGGGATGGAACAAGCAAATTGTCCAATGTTGCTTTATCGAGTTGTGAACCAATCATATTCTCCAACTTATTCCTGATACTTCTGTTTAAGTTAAAATTCAGTGAAACATGTAGAATCCCGAATAAGCTCTTGCAAGAAACACAGCTCTGATCAAGCATATACAGCATCTCAATGACCGTTTCAGCAATGGTGCGCTTGGTATCAGATTTGACCGTGTAAAACTTCGATTTCTGGTAATAAAAGAGGAACCTACTAATGATAACATGATCGAGTTTTCGCGAAACCATGGCCTTGACAAGCATTTCAAGCAAATCTGGACCTAAAACTAGAAGATCCTCGAACCACCAGGGTGCGCAAGAGAAGCTAGCTTTCAAACTCTCAGTGCTTCTAGTATCACATGAAAACCGAATACCAGAGCTATCGGGGGATGAAGTCGAAGGACAAGGACTTGCTTCGCTTGTCAAAGGCAATCTCGCAATGAGGGTATCCAAGCATTTCTCAACTAGACTCAAAGAATTCACAACCGGAAGCAAATCCTGGCACTGCTTCAAAGCCGTCAAAAGCTCAGACCATGACCAATACCTGATATCTTGAAATGATTTCTCCGCTTTTTCTAACAAATTATGTTTTCTGGCTACAGAATTGTTCATTTCCATGAACTGCGCAGCGCAGTAAAGGAGGGAAATGTTGGAAGGAGTTATGTAAATGCTGCCATTGTTGTAACAGAACCTTGAAATCAGCTCAAAACTCTCCGCTCCTCCCGGAAAGTCATGGAATACCACTTTAAGATTTCTTGAGGAGGCTTTTGATTTTCCAAGTAATTTGCTCAATTTGCCAGAGTAGGAGGCAAGAATTCTCTGCAAAAATGGTCAGAAAAACCAGAATTAACACCATTTGCTGAAAGCCATTAAAAAGTAAGTAAAAACAAGAACAGTAAATTACTGAGAAAAATGTTACGCAAGATCTTCGGCTTCTTAACAAGCAAGTAAACAAGAAACTCAATAAACACAAAACCCCAGAACAAATTCAAGAACGCAGAAAACCCACCAAAAGAATGAAGACATTGAATTGGAAAAGAAACAAAATACAATAAAATGTGGGAATCTACATTCTACACCAGAAGGTACCAAAGAAAGCAAAGAGGTCGTTATATGCAATAAATTGTGGTGACGTTGAGAGCTAGGTCTGCCAATCACCCCCCATCTCAAAAGAAGTGAACATTTGAGCCCCCCATAACAGCAGCAATAAATGAGAGAGAATGAAGAAAATGAAAAAGGTATGCAACTTGTTTAATAAAAAGACAGAACCAGAAGAAGAAAAAGCCAAGGCAGCCATGAGTTCATGACTCACATCAATGCAATATAGGTGTTTGAATTAAATGGTGGGGGGAAAAGGATGAATCTTTGCAATCCATCAGCCATGGTGGATAAATGGAAAGTTACCCAGGTAAAGTTCATCAGCAAAACTTCACAATTCAAGACAAAATGTTATCAAATAATTACATTTGGACAAAAGAAAAAGATGGGATTTTCCCATTAAAAAAGGGAATATCCATGCAATTCAGCAGGCATGATGGATAAAATGGAGAGTAATCCAGATAAAAAAAATATGGAACTTTTCTGTAAAAAAATGGAGTTGAAACAATTTGCCAAGCACAGAATTATTACCTTGTCCACCATGAAAGACTCTTCCCCATTGACTTCAACTTCAAGTTCACAATGAACTTCCATAACAAACTGAATAAAAAGGTTAAAAACAAAAACCCACTCCAAATCAAGAGTTATTTTTTGGGACTTGCAATCAGAAGAGCAAAAGAAGTAATCTTTTTAAGGGTGCAGCAGAGACAGAGGCAGAGAGGTGAGGAGGCCAAATGGGGAGGAGGGAGGAGGAGGAGGACGAAGGGGACACAAATCCATATTCTTAATGGGGAAGAAGACAAAGGGAACGAGTCTGGGACTTTAGTGACCGCAAAAAAAAAAAAATTGGATGCTATTGGTTCAGGCAGAAGCAATGTGGTGGTTCTCAACTGGGATTTTTAGAGAAGAGAGAGCGGTTGAAGCGTGTGTTACTATCAGTATACCACTAGCCTAATTCTGACATTTCCAGAGAAAGTGCATCTATAAGCTTAGGAAATTTATTTATTTATTTATTAGGTGAAAGTATATGCTATTAGTGGATAATTATTAATGCTGGAATTGGGATTATTCTTTTGGGGTTTGTGGGGAGGACTAGACCATTAGGTTTTGGAAGTGAACCTTTGTGTTGCTGGCTGCTGCTTTCCCTCCCTCCCTTTGGTTTTTATTCCACGTTGATAGCTGCAAGTCTCTCTGTAGATGTGCAGTGCAATGCACCTATTACTTCTCTCCCCTATCCACTACTTTATTAATTGGGTTAAACTTCCCTTTCTAGCAAGGATTTGTTATTTGTACATGGGGACCATGTCTAATTATTTATTTTGTTTTGGTGGGATGCTATTTGGACATTTGTTAGTAGGGGTGGGTTCGGAGGACTCCACTTATATGTAGTGGGTCTTGTCGAATAAAACGTGTATATCTAAATGCTCAAACTCGACTCAAATGAATTTTTAAGCTCGGCCTAATTCGTTTGTGAACAAAGCTCAAGCTTCTTGGATGGCTTTGTTAAGTTTAATTGTGAAACAAATTCGATTTTTAGTTTGAATCGTCGTACATTTTTTAGATTTTAACTACACTAATATAAGTTTTATGACTCTTTTATTTTTAAATATAAGATCCAAAAGTTTAATTTTTATAAACCAAACTTTAATGAACAAACTAAGCTTGAACCAAACCTGAGTTGACTCATAAAATTATATAAGTTGCTCACAAGCTTTATGAGTCAAATGAGATAAACTACACAAACTCTTTGCCATACAACCTTTTAGTTTCCTAATTCTCATAAGGGAGATGCTAAATTGTGTACCCAAAATGTCCACATCTCAAAATTTTTCCTCCAATATGTTCTCCCACTTTATTTGACACATTTGTATGCACACTATGTCACCGTATCAAAATCACCAAGGAAAAAACACAAAGGAAAAATCACACCAATATGGAAACTTCAATTTCATCTCATTACATTACGAAATTACCAACTTTTTTTGCAGTAATCTTTCACCAACATACAATTTAATAGGGCCCACTATTGTAGGATTCGTAAAGGCCCAAAAACCTATTTTATATATCGATATAAACACCTGGTACTACTTTTACCACCAATCCGACCTTAGCTCAGTTGGTAGAGCGGAGGACTGTAGTGGGTAAATATGCTCTCAGCCATCCTTAGGTCGCTGGTTCGAATCCGGCAGGTCGGATTTCTTTTTCTTAATTATTATTTATATTCTTAATTATTATTTATTTTCCTTGAATTTTAGTTATTTTTTTCTATCAAACTAAAGAGTAGAAATAAATGCAGCACTGGTTCGAATCCGGCAGGTCGGATTTCTTTTTCTTAATTATTATTTATATTCTTATATTCTTAATTATGATTTATTTTCCTTAAATTTTAGTTAATTTTTTCTATCAAACTAAAGAGTAGAAATAAATGCAGCAAATATTATACAAGAGAGGACCCGGAGAATCAAATTCTTTTCGGTCAATGACAATGAGAGAATCAAATTCCAACTCCTGACCATGTAACCAATTTATTTTTAGTAATTCAAAGTTTCAAACCCCATATTTTAGTTTGAACAGTATTCCAATGTTGTAAATGTGTGTTAGGCGTGTTAGGCGAATTGATCAGACATTTGATGACAAAGTGTGGGAAGATTTGTCTTGGGCTTTCTTGGTAAGATTTTATTGGATGGGTTCTCTTTTTAATAGCGTGGAAATTATCCCTCTACCTTGGTCCTTGCAAATCAATTTACTTCTAATAATGCAATTCAATTTACTTCTAATAATTATTAGAAGTAAATTGAATTGCATGGACCAAAAGCCTTGATAACTTGCATATTTTTATGGAGTGAATGTCTCTCCTTGAAGCTTGCGTGCTGTTCTTCTGAGGGATTTTACTCGGCTCGTGTTGTAGCTGTCCACAGTTCCTTTTGAACTGCTAGTGTTTTAGTTCTTTTTTTTCCTTTCTTCTATTTTTTGTTTTTTTCTCTCCTAATAAATTCTGATTTTACAAAAGAAAAAAAAATTGATCGTGGCGTTTGATTTCAAATCTATTTCCCTAGAATAGAATAGTCTTAGAAGATTTATTTAAAAAAAGAATACTTAGATGTTGACACAAAAGTTTTGTAAACCATACTTGAAGCTCCATCAGAAATGAAAAGCAGACCTTCTACCCAGTTTGAACTAAAAGAAAGTAGTTGCAAACACTACGCGAGAACGATAAGGGGCGCACAATGTTGTTGTGCGGGAATGAGATTCGCAACATCATGTTTCCCATTGTCACTAACTCATACATTCTAGATTTTTAGTTGCAAGACCCTTTTAGTGAATATAGTGATTTTGAAACTCAACAAGTTACTAAAACTCCTCTTTTCGGATGGTAAATATTTCTCAGAACATGAAGTGTGAATCAAACCCATGTTTGAATTGAAATTGTTCATGTAATCAGGATTCAAGGAGCATGAGTCTAACTAGTTGAGACACGAAATAGGTACTAACGATAACAAATTAATATGAGGTATTTGGATTGCTGTCATTTTGATTCTAGGATCAAGAACAAAGATGTTTACTCATGAAATAAAAAGATGTGGTGGTCCTTGTTTGATTTCTCTTTTTACACTTGTACACTTTCGTTCATATGCGCATGCCTATATTCTTATATTACTCATTAATTGTTCAAACCATAAGAGCTTACAAGTGTTTGTCCACACTCATCGACTACTGATAGTTACCCGCACGTGCGTGAATGATTGTCTCACTTGAGCCGCAAATCAGTAATTGGATGCACGACCAATACTTCTAGGTATGGCTGGTTCGGTATGGGATATCAAACCAAAACCATCATCCTGATTTCCAAACCGAAATATTTCGGAATGGGATTTCAAATCTCAAAACCGAACCGAATTTCTAAGATTCCCGAACTTCGGGATGTCCAAAATTTTTTTCGGGATATCGGGATAGATTGGGATTGATCCTTCATGCCCAAATCCAATTCATACGAAGCCAAATTGCACCATCATTCTGCAATTCAAAACAAAATTAAAAATAAAAATTCTGTAAAAAGCTCAAAATGATCAAACAAACAGATCCCAAAACAAAATTCAAATCAAATAAAGAATCAGATTACAACCCATTATTATTATTATTATTATTATTATTATTATTATTATTATTTTGAGAAAAGACTACAACCCAAAATTATTATTATTATTATTATTATTATTATTATTATTATTATTATTATTATTTTGAGAAAAAGACTACAACCCAAAAAAAACCACATATTTAATCATGAAGACCTAAAACCACATATTTAATCATGAAGACCTGAAATGATGGTTTTTGCTCCGATGCGGCAATGGCAGGTGGGCGAAGCTTGTGGCGAAGAACGGAGGATTTGGGTTGAGCAGAGACGACGCAGATGAAAGAAGAGCTATTTTGGGGTTTTGGGAATCAAAAAGATACAAAGGAGGAGGAAGAAGAGAGGGAAGAAAGGACAACAGCGGCATGACATGAAAAGGCAACCGTTATGGCAGTAGTCGTAGCCACTAACCTCAGAAATGTAGAGGCAGAGGAGAGAACAGAGTCAAAGAAGTGAGAACTCGAGAGGGATGAGAGGGTTGAGGGTTGAGGCTTTGGTGAGAAATGTGAGAGTGTGAAACCCTATAACTTAGATTGGATGGTTGAGATTAAATCTCAACCAATCCAACGGTCCAGATAGTTTATAATTTCTAATTTAAATTAAATACATATTATATATTAATATAGTTGTTCGGTTAGGGATTACCGAACTAAAGGTCTATCAAAACCGAATCCCATACCAAAAGTTTCGGACTATTTCAGTTCGGGATTTTCGGGTTCGGTTTTTTTTTTCAGGTCGGGTTCAAGAAATTTCGAATCAGGTTCGGGAAATTCGGTTTTTTTTTTCCAGCCCTACTTCTAGGTTACATGATGTTTTCATTTAACACAAGTTGATCTTATTGAAACATGCAAACCTAATTTAATAAGAAGTACCATTTATTAAAAAAAAAATGTAATAAGAAGTACTTAGTTACTAATTTGAGTAAGAAAAAGAACTAGCCACCAAGCCATTCCTTTCACTTTTCCACTTCTAGTGTGAAATAGTACCAGAAATAGCACTTCTTGAGGGGACAATTACATTATTAATGATCAAATAAAAGGCTAAAAAAGTTAATTTCACAGTACGTAGCCCTATGGAACAAAAGCCTGCATAAAGTGCTAGATTTTGTCTTAATACAATACAACAGACAAGAACATGTCTCTCTTTCGCCTTTCATGTGACAGATCATAGCTAGCTAAAGCTTCAAAACAAAGTGCTCGTGAAATTTGTTTTTCCACAAAATGCCTGCCGTTTTCCTTTTTGTCTTGTGCTCATTTGCAGCTTTTTGACGAAGAGAAAAAAGTAACCACACAGAGCTTTGTCATTTCATTACCTCTCCTTTAATCTCCTGGACCACTGCAGTAACTTCACTTGCATGGTAACATGTTTTATAGAGGAAATGGTTTTCACACTCCTCGTTTCTTTTTCTGCACTCATAAGAGAATCAAGGGACAAAACCAAAGAGAAAGTAGAATGAGTAAACGAGAGTAAGGAAATCACTTCAGGCCACACAAACACCGAGTTAATCCTCAATTAGCAACCCATTTGGATTTGGGACCCAAGCTGTGGCAAAAACTGAGTTGTGTCCCTTCCATGTGAGCACCAACATATCTTCTTCACGTTTCATGCCCCAACCACTTGCATGTTCATCTAGCAAGGCCTTGACTTCCCTAGCAGTCTCTTCACAAAATATAGTACTTGAAAAACCAATGTTTCTCAATCTTTGTGACATTGTGACACCTGACTCCAACCTCTCTATTCTTTGGTGCCCTTCAAAACCAATAATGTTTTCAATTTTGTGACCAACATCAGATTCATAATCCATCCTTTGGGTACTATCTTTGGGCAAGAATGTTTCCAAGGAATCAAAGGGTATCCAAAGATAATTAAAACAAGTTGTTATTCTTGAGCTAAGACTTGGTACACTAAGATCAGAATCTTCATCTACCACAACTATGATTCTAGGGTTAAGGGATCTAATCGTGTTAAGGAAAGTGTTGCGCATCGAACCATCTTGATGGCCAGGGATATCACCACGTGGCTCATCGGAAAGATAGCGTAACCAATTTTGACAATTCACAACCAAAACCTCATCTTCCCGGAGGTCTAGTGAGGAAGGGTTTAATTCAGTGGTAACTAGCAATTCCAAAGAGGATGAGTTTTCAATCACATTGAACTCAAAAGGGACATCTCTAAACCTAGAGAAATTCGCCAAACGAAGACCAACTTCTTCGCTTGAAACATTGAGCAAAGGAGGGACTTGTGGCCTCCAATTAGGCACAGTGACTCTAAGCAAAGGAGGACCCTCAGGCCTTTTGGCCAATGCATCTATTAAAGTAGGCCATTGCATACAATGAGTGATGCTAAAATCTAAGATATGAACTTTTGGGCACCCTTGAATTGCCTTAAAAATTGCACTATTTGATGCACAATATCCGAATCGGTGCCATGGGATTAGATCAACATACCCGGCTAGCTCGGTCACCGACATCAACCTACTCGGAATGGTACTAGTGCTACTGCTTCCATTAAAATTCATAGGTGTAGGGCAAACCTTTGAGGCTCTTGAAATTAGTGCCCTCAAGATCCATGAGGTGAGCCTTTGGTTAGGGTCACCAACAGAAGAGGCAACATTGTTGAGCACCCACATCACTTGTTGAGCCAAGGTCACATCATTGCTCTCTAGGGCACTTGCACAGTGAAGTAGTAGCTTCTCAATACATGCCCCGTCGAGGCTTCCGAGACACCCAGTAAGCGCACCGGTGAGAGACGTGCCCTGAGAGGTGGTGAGGAGAGCAGTACTTGGATTTTGGAGAGAAATGGAGGTAATGCTTCCTCGAACTTCAGTTTTCATTGCTGTTGATTATTGGAGGTATGTGACAAATTAGGAATTTCAGGAGGGAGGAAGACGGGAACGAGATATTTGGGGTGTCAGACACGCGTCCGGCAAAGATTGGTGGATGGGATTGAAGAGCTAGGGTTTTATCTTGTTGGTATATGCGAGTTTCTAGGTTCAAGAGAAATATGGGAGGTATTTGGCTAATGGAAAGCTGTCCATGGCTTTTGTGTATTAGGTGTGTTTCTGTCTCTGAGACATGCACAGGCGCAGAGAGTTGAGAGCTATAGCTCATCTGCTACTTTAAACCATATATATACTAAGAGACTAGAGAAAGAAGATATATCCCTAATTATCCATATATAAATACAGTGTATATGCAAAAGGACTTTCAGATTCATAATAAAATGACAAGAGTACATTGATAATTAGCTGCACGTATGATTGTAGATTGACATTTCTCTTGAATTCTCCGTACAAATTAAATAAGTTGCATACGTGTGAATTTAGTGGTATGTTAAATGATATAGAGTGAGCTAGCTAAAGGATCGGAAAAGTCTATAAGAACAAGAAAGATTATGTGAGAGATGAATTACATGAGTTTGTAACGATCTCTGATCTACTGGCTACAAGTTTTTCTCTCCCCTTTAATGAATGAGATCTCAATTTCGAGGCATACTCAGATTAAAAAAAAAAAAAGAATTACATGGTAGTGTCTAATGAATTAGTGAAATTTATCAAGATAGAGCATACAAGATGAAGTAGTGTGATACGCACACATCGCAAATTATTGATATCGTCAAGCACGTAGTATTAGGAACTTAGTCAATTCATATAATCCAAATTATATCTTATGTTGGTAATGCTAATTTACGACTACGCACACTATAATCAAAAGAATCTAATGAATTTGCATAGATGGAGCTCTGCTAGGGCTAACTCTCCAACCAAATTTGGCATATTGCTAATTATTACTTCGCACCCTTTCATTTTCTTAAGAGACTAGTTATTGTGGCCACTTCTGTTGAAGAGAGTAAAGAGTAGGTTAAAGAAGCTGTCTTCGCCGGCCAGTCTTTTGTCGAATTAGTGTTCATGCAGTATGATTTAAGACAAACCACAACAATAATTTAACATTAAAATTGAATTAGTATGGATTTGCCATTGAGTTTTGTGATGGTTACCCATTCCTTCCACTTGTATACACGATGCATATGAGAGTTCAACTTGGTTTCTTGCGCCATGTGAAGCCAGGGGAAAAAACAAATTAGACCTCTTCCCACAAGGACAAAATTTGATTATCTCACATAGATGTCACTCCCATATAAGGGTTAAAGACAATGGAATATTTGCATAAACCTTTGAAAAATGTTAGTCTTTATTTAAAAACGGCAAGGAAAAAAAAAAGGAATTGTTGCTAAATGATTGATTGAGAGTAAAGGGATTGAATTCCACGAGGGGGAAGGTGCAGAAAACTAAACAAGCTTATTTAGGCTGAAATGGGTTTGTCCTTTGCAGTGTTTGAACAGAGGGAAACCCTAGAAAATACTAAAATGCATGGATTGTATATATATAATGGCTCACTAGGGTTGACCGTAACCAAGAAGAATAACTATGTACTATACCCTACTCGGGTCGTTCTTCATCTTTAATTACGTGTAGTATAATACTTAACTATACATTAAATTTTCAAACAGAGAATAATTTATTTTATTATGTTATCAAACTATGAATTACATAAGATCATTTATGTTTAATATATACATACACAACGTATGTCAAACTAATTGTCTCGTTCTATTTGTTATTTGGTGACCGGAAAATACATTGTCACTCGCCATTAAATTTGATATCAAATGTTGAATTCGGTAGTGGTGTACAAGTCTCTCTACATATAGTTGTTTAATTTTATGTTTTTGCTAGGACTTAACTTGTTGTGGTATGGATCATAGCACATGTGTGATTGTGTAATAATTCCTAGTAGATTGTATTTAGGATTACTATATGTAGTTTGGAAAATCTTAGGTTTTCTTACTTGTAAGTAAACCCATTATGTTTAATTACTAAAAATAAATGCAAGTTAAGAGGAAAAGACACATACAAAATTTTCCCTACGCCTCTCTTTTTGCTCTCTATGCTGATGCACTCTCTCTCTTCTTCAATTAAATTTAGGCCACAACATAGTTGACTTATTTGCACATTTATTTGAGGGTAGTGCTATCCACACATCCATTTTTACTTATCACACATCTCTCTCAATTTTCGGTCATCGGATCGAATGAATTGGAGAAAATCAATGACAAAAAATTAATAAGAATGCAGGAGAAATAAAAATAAGTGTGTGAACAACACTATCCTAATTGATATCCACAACTCAGTTGCATGCTTCTGATCGTGCATGCTAAGGACAACCAAAGAAATTCAGTCATTATAAATACATACCAATAATTATGATAGAGGACGTACGTATTAGTGCTGAGACCATTATATATGTATTCTTCATGCATTTAGACGGTAAGAAAACTACAAAAAGAAAACAATGGAGTTATTTCGATTCTGGTTTGAACCATCGATGATGATTCATGAAAATCAGTTTCATATTTTTCTCCGGAATAATTTGTTGCTGGAAAAGCTGTACTGGGGCTTTGGCTAGACTGCCGGCTGCTGTACATATATAAGAGACATGTCACTCTCACTTTACCTTGACAATCCGACGAAAATCTTGTGATTTAGATTTCACATGGTTCCTGGCTAGGGTAAAGGGAATTGTATTATGTGCAAGTGTAACGTACGTCTTGTCTCCATCGACTCTAAAACTTTTTTTACTTTGTTTGGTCTATAGTATGCAGAAACTAATTAAAATTTTAAATTAATTAAAAGATTAATGATAGTTATATTGTCACGTGGTACGTTATCGATTCATTTATGTTATAACATGTGTATTTTATTAGTACGTTATAGATTACCTGTGGAGAACATGTGCTTAGTGATCACAATATGCGATGTGCAGATTATTCCCACCCCAATCCAGACATATGATGAGAACCATGAAGAGAAACAATACCCAGAACTCTCGAACTCTATTCTGTTTGTAGTGGAACGATTCAAGAAGATGGTAATGTATGTGCCTTGAAAAGATAATTCAGTAGGGTAAGACGACATTTATGCCACGTCAAAACAATTAGGCAATTCTGCTTGCTTAATTTATGTGAAATATAACTCATCTACGCATAGTGATTTTCACCCTAACCATCAATCTAATATATATATATATATATATATATATATATGTATATATGTGTATATATATATATGTATATATGTGTATATATATATATATGTATCACTACAAGAAAAATGAGCTTTGGGTACAAAATAAAGGGCACAATTGAGAATTTTGTGTCAATTTGACCACCAAAAAGCTTAAACAATTCCCATTCCATAGAGGGCACCATCTATTGTGCCCAATGTTAAAAAAAGCAGACACAAAACAGTAATGGGCACGGAAATCGTGTCAAGTGGGATCACATGACAACTTTTTTACTGAAAATGGGCACAAAAAATATTTTGTGTCTATAAAAATTATTTGTCAAAGGCACTATATGTTCTCTCTCGTTTGTCTTTACCTCCACTAGCACACCAATAATTAAAATTTATAAAATTGTGGTAAATAATGGTATGAAGCTGTTTATTACCGTGCAATATTTTAGCCTCAAAATAAGTTAGCAATAATGTTGTTCAAATTTGTTTTTCCCGAAAGCTGAACCTCAGATCTCTCACTTACAAGTAAAAAAGAATACCACTACACCATAGTACTAAGTGGCATGTTTTAGATTTACAAAGGATCATTTCCAGGTGCAATGAATGTTTGTTAGATTCGTATCTTTTTGAATTGCTTTTTGGATTGTTATCTTCTTGCAGGTTTGTTTTTTATACTTGGTGATATGGTTTTTGGTTTTAAAGTCCTACCTGCAGTGACACATAACCAACAATTGTGCCCTTAGGGTTGGTCTCTGTGCAAAAGTTAGTTGGTCTTCAGATAGACAAATGAGTTAATAATTGTAGATTCCTTTTTATGACACTAATGATAGAAATTGTGTCCACTAAATATTAATAAATAATAAATCACTCTACTTCTCATTGGGTCTTCAAATAGAGAATATATTTTAATAATTATAAATTCCTCTTTTCTGACACAAATGTTAGAAATTGTGTCCAGTAAATATTAATAAATAATAAATACTCTATAGCAAAAGAATATGTTGGCACAATTATGGATTTGTGCCTTTATTCTACTATAAAACGTCCACACACTCCCTTACTAATTTGTATATGGAAATTAAGAAGGTTGCTTCATACACATATGTTTCTTTTGAATTTGAGCAAGTTCTACATCATTGACAATGGCGGACAGGCGACGTCGTGGAGTTAGAATTGGAACTGAATCTCCAGCATCACATTCGTATATTGCTTCCAACATTACAACAGAAAATTCCACAACGAATCCTCCAGTTCAACGTCCACGACAACCTGTTAATGCCGGGCGCATGCCTCGTCCTTTTAATAATCAGTACATTCTTACTACTTTTGTTGATGGTCGCCTTGGCTACGCATTACCCTTCAATAACGGATGCGTACGCGCACCTCAAGGACGTGTATTGCCAGCATGGGCAAACCCAGGTAGGACAGAACAATATCCTGTCAATTTGGTTTCTGCTGAAACAACAACTGAACAGTCTACCAATTCTGTCGTTATTATTGAAGAACCACGCACTTATCAAGCACAAATTCGTCCTAGAGGTCTGTCTGTCCCATAGTTGAGCTCACGAAATATGCAGAATGTTACCGTTGAGATTTTAAGCAGCGATGACGAGGACAATTAATATATTTTGTATTATGTTATATTTCACTGGTGTACTATGAAAATATAACTATCTTATGCTATGCTGGACTCCTCTTGGGTCCTTTTATTAACTTATGTCGTATTCCAATATAATAATGTTTTCTTTCTAATTAGCCCTTGTAGATTTACTCCTAGTATATATTTTTTTAGGTTATAATTATGTTTCTCGTCCGCTTCATACCGCAGAATTCAGTGAATTCACAGTGTGGCAACACAAAGGTTATGAGACATTATTTCTATACTAAAACTCAAACTCTGGTGCACTGTTTACGGACAGTGCAAGGACGAAAATGACCCCCAATTGGTCTTCAGCGTTTTTTTTCACAGTAAAATGGCGGTTTTGTCCTCCCAGACCACGCGTCTCTCATCAGTGTGCCTCTAGGTTCGATCTTCATTTTCTGTTCCTTGCTTGGCACGCGTCCATCATCGCTGCCGTTTCTGTTTCAGTTCTCTGCGTGTTCTTTCTTTGCTTTCCATTTCTCTTCTCTCTCTCGCCGTCTTCTCAGTGTTTTGCAAGCTTTTCTCCCTTTGCCTTTGTCGCCATGGTCTCCATCGCTCTCAAGCTTTTCTCCCCTTCTATTTGTCGCCATAGTCTCCATCGCTCTCAAACTTGCGTTTCTATCCCTGTCAAATCTTGGCTCACTGGAAAAATCTGAAGTAGTTTAAGCTTCTTCAGCTTTTTGATTTGGATTGAAGATGATTTTAAGCCAAAAAGGTTAACGTTTTCTGGTAAGTTCTTTGAATCCTACATCTCGGAGTTCTTTTTTTTTTTTTTTTTCAAATCTATGGGTTGTGTTTTCTTCAATTTTAAAATATTAAAAATTGAATCTTTTTTTTTTTTGGGTAATATTTTTCATTAGATTATGCTATGGGTTCTGATGAGGCTTTGAATTGGGTTTGAGAGTTTTGATTTAATGAGAAAGATAAGGAGTATACACGGAGACAGGGAGTTAGGTCATTTGAAGAAATGGAGATTAGGGTGAGAGAAAAACGGGAGAGAAGGGGTAGCAGATTAAATTTTGATTTTATAATTTTGGGGGTTTTGTGTTTAAATTTTGCGTTTGTAATTTTGGGGCTTTCATGTGCAACCTTAGAACCACTTTGTGCTCAAGGTTTATAAAAGGTATGAAACCCCTGGCGTTTGCTGATGCGTTTTTTTTACTTTCTTAGTATGGCCTTTAAATTTTTTTGGTAGTTTCTGTAGATATAGCCTACAAATGTTGACCCGAAGGTTGGACATAATCATTACTTCCTATTACAATTTATTAACGTTAATTCAATTAACAAAAGTTGATTGGAATCTGACAATGATCTAGATATTTGCATGGGTGAGAGAATCTCGCTGACATTTTTCGATATTTAGATGGGATTTGTCTATGAATTTTGTTTTTGTAATTTTGGGTTTTGTTTATATTGTTAGATTCGTTGTCTGCGCGTATCATTTGCTTCTGTTTTTCGTTTCAGGCGACGTTACTCTTCATTTTTTGGGGCTTTTGTGTGAAGCTTTCGAAGCCCTTTGTGCTCAAGGTAAATAATTTTGGTTTTTTCCTTTGAGGCTTTTGTGGAACAATTTTTTTTGTTTTTTGTTTTTGTAATATTGTGATAGTTTTATTTTGTATGTTGTGAAAGTTGATTGTTTGAGAAACTGAGTAACTGTGTATTTGTTTGTAGTTATGGTATGAGACGTGATATAAATTGAACAGGGTGAGATAAGGTATTTAGGTATCACAACAATTGATCGTGAAAAACTATTAACAAACTGCATTTGAAACATTCATTCATTTATGTTATATGGTTCCAAGCTTGAGTTCTTTTTTCCATGCAGCCTTCTGTTAACCAATACGGGTCTATTCATTCTGGTAATGCTACAAATGGATAAATCACATCAGAGCGTCTGCTACCCCTTTGTTACCTGATTTCATGGATTCATATATGTGCTATCTCCATAACTATTATCTGTCTGCTGCCTATTACTATGGAGGTAAAACTTATGGGTGAAGTCTTTGCTTTAGATTGGTTTATTTATGGATTGTCAGATTCTTCTTTAAATTCATGTATATTTTTTATATCAAAATTCATGTGTGTGATATGAATGGTTTTGTGAATTTCTTTTAGGCTATGATGAGACTAGCAACAACTGGGAGGACTACTTGAGATATGTAAATCCTGAGGGAGTATAAATGATTTCTGTAAGTTCCTCTTCCAACTTCACAATTGTGAACTGGGTAGTCATTACAAGCTTCCAGTGATAGTTGTCTAACGCTTCGAAGGCAGCTCTCTAAAATTTAAATTATCTTTCTGAGTTTTCTTTTCTTCTAATTACATAAAATTGATATTTTTTTATATAGTTATTTATTTGTCATATGCTCTGGTATATCGATTTCTTTTTTTCTCAAAATTTTTGCTTCGTTTTATATAATGCATAGAAAGGAGGAACACCCAAACTGGAGGTCAAGCATGACATCCTTTCTATAGACCTGAGGTCAGTCAAACATGTGTTATATGTGTATAGGTAGAGTTTCCATTGCTTGATTCTCCTCTGCTTATATCACTTTATTTGGTGCCAATTTTAGGGGAAATTATGAGACATGGAAATTGTTGCCAAATGCGAGGACATAAAGTTGTCTATTTGCAAAATTACGATGAAGTGGCACAAGGACCCTAAGTTGGTATGTTCAAGTAGATTACCTGATCTCCTTAGTTGGGTTTAGGTTTAATGCTCAGTGGTATGTTGTGCTTCTGCTTCTTTTTAATTATCGAGGATATGCAGAGATTGCAAATGAAAAGATTGTATTTGCAGCGTTGATGCATTGTTGAGCCAGAGACGCAAAAGGAAGGATGTATTCAATCTCAAGATCTGTGAGCTTTCACTTCTTAACTTTATTATTATTAATTTTGTTTGCTCTTTGAAATTTGAATGTATTAGTTTTTTAATTTTATTGGGATTAGTTTACCTGAGATGGGTTTTGGCTATATTTTTAGATTATGAAATTTAATGTTAATTGATTTTCTAGGAAAAATGTGAGACTGAGAGTATGTTAAAAGGCTGAAACATTGCATAAAGTGGTTCCAAGAGCTTGAGGAAAGCTACTTATTAGAGCGTGAGAAGTTAGAGAATTTGATTCTGTTATTCGTAGACCATTCTGCCAAATCTCTGAGTTTGAAGCAGATCAATTTTTACATTTTTATGTTTAATTTTAGGAAGAAATGAAAATGAGTTTTGCCTTTTTTGAGTGTTTCGTTAGTACTAGCTTGCTGCATATGCTATTCTCTGGGTGTAAATATAATTATCTAAGCAAGCTCACTTATTTTTTGAACTCTAACTGATTTGTGGCTGCAACAAGAATTTTTTATTGGATTTTTCCCAGTCTTTTTAACAGTATTAGGTTTCTGTCCTGCATGTCACCAGGCTGATTTCCTTGGTAGGTCATATTTTTCACTTTCTGGATGTGCAAAGTTTGGATAGTACACATCACCGGGCCAAACCTTTCTCAGGTAAGGAATTACATCGCGTTTGTTGAAAATATTTGCTTCCTTTCCTCTGATGTATGTATATGCATGATGTATGTGTGTGATTTTAGATTGTAATGTATCACAAATTTGTGGCATGAAAATTGATATTTGTAGACTTACCCTTTATTTTTTGGCTGTGATGGGGGAAAGGAAAATAAAATTTCAAAGATTGATACTTTTATGTGATTTCTTGGCTCTTTTTTTCATATGATTTTCATTGTATGTGTGCCAGTGTATGTCTCTTCTTGAAAAATGCATGTTGAAAATGGGAGAATTTTGGACATTGACATGTTTAGAAGTCAGGTTTTCTGAATGAAGATACTCTTATGATTTGTTTGTAATTTGTTTTGCAAATGGGTAGGAATGTCATTCTAAAAGGATATTGGCAGGAGGGGGTGGAATGTCATTCTAAGATATATATATCAGCAGCAAGGGTGTGGAAGCTCACACGCTCAGATTTCAACGCGTTTCGAAGGTGGAAATGACAAGAATGTGCAGTGTGGACCTCCAATTTCTACTGCTATGATGCATGAGGACTGCCAAAGTGAGAATACTGGTTAGTTGTCATCAAGCAGCCCTTGTAGATGTGTATTTTGTTTATATATTGCTAGTTTAACCATTAGTACGTTTGACTTGGGGATACAAGCTTGGATATGTTATATTTTGTTGTATATAGAGAATCCCGGGTATGTCCAGCATAGGATAACATGTATTTTTTGGTTTAACATTTGGATGGGTTGTATTGTTAGGTTGCATGAATCGGTCTTAGCCGAGAACATGGGTTATGTAATATATTAACTTCACTATTTTAGTGCTAATGTTGATTTATGTTTAGTTTGTAATGGATGATTTGTAAGTTTCTAAATTTAGGTGGAAATTAGGTTCTATGAGCAACCTGATGATTTCCATGTTTAAATAAAAATATCCAATTATGCCACAAATTTTTAATTGTGCTGGAGTTTTATTGTATTTATTAAAATATAATAGTGGCACAATTTTAAAGTTGTGCCCTTGCTTTAACATTTATACAGCAATCTAAGCCTTTAAAATAGCAATTGTGCCCATCTTACACCATACATTCAGTAGCCTTTATTAGAGGTAAGACACAATAAGGGTTGTATTTGTGCTTAGCTTTGGGCACAAAACATCATATTGTGTGCTATAAGTAATGGTGACGCCCATAGAGGGCACAGATACAAACTTAGTTGCTGCACTGTTGCTATTGGTCTATGAGCACAAATGTTGGTGCTTTTTGGCCTCAAAAGGCACATATAATTTTTTGTGTGCAGTGCTCATTTTTTTTGTAGTGTATATATGTATATATATAATTACATTAATTATTTTATGTGAGATTCACATCCACAACAAGAAAACTTAATAATCTCTCAATTATATAGTCTCTCAATTATTAGGTTTTCTTGGACTATCTCATATATTGCCAATTTATGAAGAAAACAATTATTACTAATTAATTTTATGGTGAAGCCTCAACTTTTTTCATAATATTAGAGCAAAACCCGACCCGGGTTTAGCGTTTAACTATCAAAATGAGTCAAGTACTGATAAATTGGACATTCTAATGCACAAATATGTGATTCAAATTTAAGAATAAGAGAGCATGCATACTACCTTTGTCAATTGATTAACTCACATTTGTTGCGTTAATGAATGAAGTCCTTCGACAGACAGACGACACATTTAAACATGCATGCATTCGTCCTCATATTTAAGCTCGATCAATTAAGCCAACAAAACTTGGAGGTTGGGAGGGACAATCTTTCATATTCGTTTTTCCTTGAGGCTCTCATTGTTGTTAGGAATAAAATCTTTGATAAAAAAATGCATAAACTGCCATTGTTGTTGTGTAGGATGCGATGATCAGTGCAACACGATAGACCTTCACTCTAATTCTTTTTCTAGCAACATTTTGTGGTGGAGAAGTGTCGGTGCTTCCCTCCAATGGCATTTTATTCATTTACTTTTGATAGATATTAATTTTTATTTTTTTGTCGACATAGATAATTTTTTCTTCTTCAACCACTATGTTCGGCCTTAAATCTATAAGGCCCATGCCAACCACAATTTGGGTGGGTGGTCACCAAATTTTGTAGCAATGTGCAAATTCTGTTAATTTTTGATATAATTCTAAATTAGTTTCAACATTTTTAAACATTTCAAAAAAATAGCTAACATATAGGACATATTACTTTCATTTAGTCCCAAGTTAAGGGAACTGTTAAGTGCTTATGTGGCATTCTTGGTCATATTTTTTTATGGTCTGGACAAATCTCAAATTAATGACGTGATATTCATGGTCAAATTAGTCTCAACATTCTAAAATTCTCTATCTCCTTCTCACATACCTTTATCTTTCCCTCTCCATAATTAACACCAACAAACAGATTGAAACAAAACGCATTGACCGTCTTTTATTTATTAAAAATTGACAACCACATTCTCTTGGGACTTAAGGGAAGTGATATTTCCTATACTCTTTTGAAATGTTTGAAAAGGTTGGGACTAGTTTGGAATCACACCAAAATGTTAGGGAGTTTTAGGTACTTAATCTTAAAAATTAAATACTTTATATTCCAACAATACGGTATTTGTACTGAAAATTCCTTTAAATGAGTAGGGTTAAAGCCCAAACAAATAGAGACTAACCGATTGCAAGACTAAAACAATTCAGAAAAGTTATTAAAAGTTGAAAGAATTTGGAGTTTCATTATAAAATTAATTGATAATAAAAAAATGTAACGGTGCCTCAAAGACATAAAAGATAATGTGATCGAGTGATTAAAATGAGCAATTATCAACTAGATGAGTGTTCTCTTTGTATACTTGATGGGGAGGAATCTAGAAAGGGACAATAATCCTTGTAATGGAGGATATTTTTAATCATGAAATTTTCCGATAAAAACTCCTTAATTTTCTCTCGAATTAATTATTTTTCTTTACAACAATTTTAAAGATATTAAGAAGCAAAATAAAAATAATAATCAGGTTAATCTTTAACTTAATGTTGTGGAATCTTCTTGTTAAGATATTTTTTAAGGACCACAAGATAAAAAAGAAAAGATTACAAAAAAGAATAAAAGTCCCATAAATTTTGTCCAAAACTGAAATTCAAATATAGACGGGCTCCATCCAATACCTAACATAGTAATCATCCTAATTAATTACCATGGCTAATATAGTACGTAACGATAATCAAGGAATAACTATTACGTGAACGGATTTCCAAATTAGCTTCATTGTTCATTGTAATAAGTAGCAATTAAGAGGTGCACAGTACCTGTGGAAGGTGTAATTAACAATTGGATTAGGCAAACCAAACGTATTAGGACCCTTCAGATTACGCAGATAAGATGACAACTCAACACATTAACATAAAATCCATTAAGATTTCAGAAAATAGACATTGCACGTCAGCGTCACAAATCCTAACCTTATCTCTCTCCCTATAAATACAAGCTAAAAAAACCGATTAAATGTCATACCTTGACAAAATCACAGGGCATATATACTTGAGTTTTCTCCCGAGCAAAACCTAACCAGAATAATGAAGTTCCTCTTGGAGTTGGGATCGTGTTACCGCTCTTCGTCGTCGCGAACCCGAGATCGGATGACGAGATCAACCCATGGGAGAAGCTCTAAATCTGGGAGTGGTCATCAATGGAAGCCAGCTCTTGTTACAATCTCAGAGGATGGTGTTGTTTCAGGTTATGAGGGTAACCTTCAGTCTGAGAAGATGGCATCGGCCAAAGCTCCTCGTCCAAAGGCCAAAGCTCCGAGTTTCAGTTATACTTCTAGTGATGATTTTCAGTACTACTCCAGGTAAATATATTATTACAGTATGTTTGATTTTTCTTCAGGTTACACACACACACACACACATATATATATATATGTATATATATTTAACATATCGATATACATTTTTAATTTATGGAAGTTTAATTTGTGCATTTGTACGCAATATTTTCATCAGGAGAAACATCGCGCCTATGATAATACCTGCAGATTTTTCAGCAACGCCGTTCATGTTCTGATGAGTAATGATCAGTACTGTTTTTAAATGCTTTTTGTTGATAAATATATATTATCGAAGTTAATTATAAATTTACTGTATTGCTAGATGATCGATGGATTTAATTTCTTTAGAATTAGAACCACTGTATTTTCATTGCTTGCACAGACTAAAAACAGTATCCAAAGATTGTATATTCTTCTCTTAATTATGTAAAACAGTATTTTTTTTTAATTGATTGCTTTAAGCTTTTACACTTTATATTACATGGCAATAAGATTCGACAAAGATATAAGGCATCTAGGGTTTGGTTTTCCCTTGTTTTTGATGGAGGAAGAGGTGGTTTGTATGTTTAGTTTTGTTTTTGTTGGGTACATTGGATGCCTTGTAATCAGAGACTGATCACTTAAGAAATATTATACCGATGGTTCACTTTTTGAATTCGAGATAAGTATATTGTACCTGTAGTATGTTTTTTGAACACGTAGTAAGTGTTTAATAAAAGAATTAACATCATTAAGATTATGCATGGTTGCAAGAGAGAATCTCTTGCTTTTGAAGCCTTCTTCTCCAACTTTTACCATAGTGCAGTAAAATTCAGCTCAATTATGCACAGCATATGGATCATGGAGTAACTGTATGGTGCGTTAAGTAATGTTGTTTTGAATACAAAGTATTAATTGTCATCATCATTAGCATGGCTCAAGGTGCTCATCTCAGCTTGCCAAACCCTATATATATATATATATGTATGTACGTATGTATATGTATATGTGTATATGTATATATGTATGTACGTACGTATGTATGTATGTATGTATGTATGTAGATGAAAAGATGGCGCCACTCGATCAATTGCCACATTAAAAGTTGGTTGACTACTACATACCAACCCACGTGAAAAATGAGGCCACTGAATGCCACATGATTTTTTTTTTTTTTTTTTTTTAGTTCTTTTATCGTTTTTCTGTATATTGGGTGCAGCACGAATGTGTGGTATTAATTGAAATCTAAAACAAATGGCTCTCATCAATTGAGGGAAGAGCAATGCAGGTTGGAATTGAGACGAATGAATCACCCTTCTAATTTTTCTTCAACCATTGTCAAAAACAAAATTGGCAAATTGTTGTTTGATTCATGTTAAGTCTACTGTTAATGCTTTTGTTATTTGTTTTGCTTCGTTATCGTGCTATTTTTTTTTTTGTTAAATTTCGTTCTTGATGAAAATAACATGAAATTCAGTTTACTATGTGTGGAGATTTAGAGCAGATATTTTATTTTTATTCCATTTCTCCGTAGTATAATTGGACCGTTGATGCATTGTGCAGCATATGCATGTATTAACAACTAGAATTGAGTTCTGATGAGCGCGCTTGGATTATGGGATAGATGTATTCTTCACGTGAGCAATCCATTGTGTTAAACGAAACTCCAGTTTAGTTAGTTGATTGCTGGAAGTTTGAAATTTTAAGGTTCTCTTATTTGTGATGTTAAAGACCATGATCTTCATATATGTCAACTTGTAGAAGAGAGACTTATCTACACTCTTGCCAATAACAGAATGTCATGTATAGTAATCGAAACGCAAGTTATTTTTCATTGGCATGCAATAGGGCTAGGCTCGAAAAATCGAAAACTGAAAAAAAAAAGAAAAAAAGGTCCAAGTATCAAACTGAAGTAAAATAAAAAATAAAAAAAAAACAAACAAACCAAATGGATTGAAAATCCGGCCGAAACAAAAAAAAAAAAATTGTCAATTTCGATTTTTGTGGTACAAAAACCAAACTGGATTTCTTTATTTATGTTGGTTATTCATTTTCCAAGTCCAATTCTAAGCCAACGAATAGTCTAATTTCAATCCAAGGTTAGAAAAACCTAGCTTTTGGCCCAAAAATGTGAATATCTTATTACCTAGATTGTTTTTTCTTTACTTTCTCTCCAATTTTCAGGTTAAAAAGAGTTTTTATTTTTGTTTCGAAAAAAAACCCGAAATTGAACTGAATTGAAAAAAAAAAAAATTGAAAATCAAACCAAACCGAAATATAATTTACGTAAACCGAATTGAATTGAGCTGAATAGTAATTTCGCTTTGATTTTCATTTTGACAAAAACCGATTCTAAGAAACCGAACTCACCCCTAGCCCTAACAAGAAGCAATATCCAAGTTTATCTAACTGAACTGCAGTGTTCTCAATCAGTTTGAAACAGCCACTTTTCTGTTTTCTCCATGAAGACCAGATTGTTGGAGAGGCTTTGGGCTTTGAGCTCCAATTGTTTGGGCTTCAGAGTTCAGTTTTGGGTCCATGATACTTACTGGCAGAATCTTGCACAAGTCTGTGGGCCTCATGAGTACCTAATAAAGAATCTATCAAATATTCACCACAAGAAGCAACAAAATTGTAAAGATTCAAGCAACCAATGATTTGTTGTCTTTTAACTATTTTACCGGTAACCGATCTACGGTCTTAGAGGGAGATCAATCCAATGCAGATTTTTATTTTTTTATTTTTATTTTTTATTATAAGGAGAATAACTGGTGACAAGTTACGGTTATTCACTCGTTTCGGAGGACGGTAGATTCACAGAGGCATTTCTACCTCACTCTAGCCATAAGTCTGACTTCCACACCAGTAGCGAGTTACGAACTCAAAACCTCCAATTGTAAAGATTTTTTTAGTGTGTCTGAAATACGGTCACATACATTAATTATTATACAAATAAAAATACTTAAAAAATAAAACTTTTACCCACTTATATTAAACATATAACATACTGTTCTGCATTTCGGGCTTAAATTACTTTAACACTTTACAAATTCCATAGATTTTGGAAACGAGCCCTTTTAATTAGCCCTAATCTCCCACCACGTTGTGCAATCTGCCTCCTAAAATTATTTTTTGCTCAAGTTCAGTTGAGCGCCAAAACCACGTTTACCAAAATAACCTTGCCCTATTTTCCACGAGTCCCTATCCCAACTGGACCCCACCATTCACCCACAATGACAACCACACCCTTCACATATCATTGTCGTTCTTAATGCATATGCTTAATCATGTAATTTAATTTTGGACCGTCTTGATTAATCTTGTGTAGGAGGAGGGTGTTTCGTAACAAATCTATGAGATACGAACTAATGCAACTGACTTGTTGGAAACCAATTTTCTGCGCGTGTAAATATTGTTAATTCCTTGAGTTATAATCTTATTTTTATATAAAAATATAGTAACATTGTACAATAATGATCTTACTTGAGTTACTTTTATTACGTTGTTCAGTTGTGTGCTTGAGTGTCAAAGGTACAAGAACGTATTAATTTGATTTTTTTTTTTTTTGTCTTATTTTCTATATATGTTTTATTAACATACCAAATCGTCGGTTTATGATCTGTTTTTGAAATCCTATTACAAAAGAAATCGGTTTGAAATCCAGGATTCTATTTTCAATTCGAAATCCCAATCCGAACCAGCCCTAAAGACGAGTCACAATTCAAGCGGACCTCTTTGTGCTACTGAAACTACGAACTCGAGTCCATTTCTACGTGGACCAAACGCCCCAAGGCCATTATTGTAATTTCAAGAGTTCTCTCGCAATCGAAGCACAAGCCCAAAGGGAAAAATGAATAAAACGAAAAGAAAAAAATAAATAAATAATACCACGAATGTTTCGTCTTTCAGACCAAGAACAGCAACAACGAGAGAGAGGAACGAACAGAGAGAGACAGACTCAGAGATACAGAGAGAGAGGAGAGAGAGAGATTTTCTCAGAGAGAGATTGGCCTTCGAGCTCTCAATTTCTTGCACTTTGTCGATCTGTCTTCGTCAAGTCTCTTTCATTTCGCACGCTTCTTCGCTTCGTCAAGCTAAGATTTTCTCGCCGATCTATTCATTCACCTCGTCAATTTTCTCGGTAATTTCCCCCTTTCGATTTCGTTTGTTTTGTAAACTTCCTGGGTTAGGGTTTTGATTTGCGGAGCTGTTGGAATTCTGGGTTTTCTTCGATTTTTTGTTTGGTTATGTACGCGTTGTGTTTGATATTGAAACCCTACATTGGGTTTGTATTGATTCGTTTGTTGAATTTTTGGAAATTGGGTTTTCAGTTGGAGCGCTGATTGAGGAGAGGAAGACCCAGTTGAAGCGAATTGCAGCATGAGCATCCATAGCCCCGGAGAAGGGGACAGTTAGGGCTTTGGGATTGGGCGCAGACGGTTGGGATTTCCATGGGCGATGGAGGCGTCGCATGCATGCCTTTGCAGCATAATATCATGGACAGGTTTCCAATTCAGGAGAAGACTACTGTTTGCGGAGGCAAGAACGGTAACAATGGATTCAATTCCAAGACGGTTAAGAAGAAGAAGATAGTGAAGGTAATGAAGCCCAAGAAGAAAGTTGTCAAGAACCCTGTGTCTTCAAAGAACCTGGAGTCCGAAAAAAATGAACTGGGATTGGATAAAGGTGCTAGCAGTGCTACTAAGGAAGCTGAGAATGGTGAAATTGCTGAGGAGAAGGAGGAAGTGGAAGAGGGTGAATTGGGGACTTTGAAGTGGCCCAAAGTTGAAGAAGAGAATGGTGAATTTGTGCCAGAGAAGTCGAGAAGAAGTGAGATTGAGAAGGGAGAGATTGTTGGTGAGAAGTACAGGAGAAGTGAGGTGGAGAAAGCAGAGTCCTTTTCAGGGAAATGGCGGAGAGGGGACGTAGAGAAAGGAGAGGTTGTTCCAGAGAGGAGCAGAAAAGTCGAAGCTGAATTCGGGTCCTGGAGACCTCCCAAGGATGATATTGAGAAAGGTGAGTTCATTCCAGATAGATGGCAGAAAGGGGAAGGGGCCAAAGATGATTACACTCCCAGTAAATTCCGCAGGTATGATAATGGTAAGGACAGGAGCTGGAAATTTGATCGTGAGCGTACGCCACCTTCGGGGAAGTATTCAAATGATGACCCCTTTAGAAGGAAAGACTTTAATAGAAGTGGAAGCCAGCAGATCAAGAGTATTGCCAGGTGGGAGAGTGGCCCTGACAGGAATACGAGGATCAGTTCCAAAATTGTTGATGAGGACAGTGCGTACAGAAATGAGTACAGCAATGGTAAGTGCCACCCCAGAGAGTACCCTTCTATTAATCGGTTAAAAAGGTTTGGTGCTGATACAAGTATCGGTGAGCGAAAGAACTATGGAGACTATGGGGATTATCCAGGTGCAAAATTTCGTAGGGTTTCTGATGACACCAATCGCTCTGCCCACCCTGAGCATTATTCACGCAGTTCTGTGGAGAGGTCTTATCGGAATCCTTCATCATCAAGAGTTGCAGCAGACAAGTACTCCTCCAGGCCATATGAATCTACTTTGTCTTCCAGAGTAGTTTATGACAGGCATGGGAGAAGTCCAGGACTTCCAGGTCATTCTGAGCGATCCCCACATGATCGGGCCCGTTATTTTGATCACCGGGACAGAAGCCCATTGCGCCGTGAAAGATCTCCATATGTCCATGAGAGGTTTCCATATGGTCGGGAGAAATCACCGTATGGCCGTGAGAAATCACCGCATGGCCGTGAGAAATCACCGCATGGCCGTGAGAAATCACCGCATGGCCGTGAGAGATCACCATATGGTCGTGAGAAATCACCACATGGCCGTGAGAAATCACCACATGGCCGTGAGAGATCACCATATGGCCGCGAGAAATCACCATTCAGGCGCGAGAGATCACCATATGGACGAGAGAGATCTCCTCATGGTCGCGAGAGATCTCCATATGGTCAGGAGAGATCTCCATATGACAGGAGCCATCAATATGATCACAGGAACCGGAGTCTGTCTCCACATGATCGACCTCGATACCATGACCGCAGGAATCGCACTCCAAATTATTTGGAACGGTCCCCTCATGATCGGAGTAGACCTAATAATCATCGAGACACAAGTCGAAAAAGTGGAGCAAGTGAAAGGCGCAACTCCCATCACGGTAATAGGGGGCAAGAAGATAAACCGGTGCAGAAGGATCCCTGTGGAAAAGACTCACATTCGACTGCTAAAGAATCTCTAGATAGAAGCACTGTGCCTGATATTAATGTATCTGTGGAGACAAATTCCAACTGTGAGTCTCACAAAGAAGAACCGTCTCAAATTCCAAGTGTAAATTGCACCGAAAATTCTCATATCAGTGTAGCCCCTCCTGAAGAGCTGCTTTCGATGGAAGAAGATATGGATATATGTGATACACCACCACATGTCCCAGTAATTGCTGATTCATCCACCGGAAAATGGTTTTACCTCGATTATTATGGTGTGGAACGTGGACCTTCAAAATTGTGTGAGCTTAAAGTACTTGTTGAAGAAGGGGCTCTTGTGTCTGACCACATGGTCAAGCACTCGGATAGTGATAGGTGGGTAACTGTTGAAAATGCAGTTTCACCACTGGTGACCATACATTTCCCATCCATTGTATCAGACTCTATAACTCGGCTAGTAAGCCCTCCAGAAGCTCCTGGTAATCTATTGGCAGATACCGGGGATACTTCGCAATATGATGCTCAGAGTGGGAAGGACGCGGCAATCACTTTGCTGCCGCCAGGATTTGGCGCAGATGTTGGTGGAGCTGCTTCTGAGCCTTTAGAAGATCTCCATATTGAAGAAAGGGTTGGAGCTCTGATGGAGGGTTTTGCGGTTATTCCTGGCAGGGAGCTTGAAGCTGTGGGAGGTATGTTTCATCTGATTTGTATTATTATTTTTTGGCTTTTTAGTCAAAATGGTCCCTGAGATTAACATCATGAGATTTGAAATCGATAGAATTGGTCTATGAGTTCATCCACAATCAATCATTTTGGTCATTCCGTGAAAAATCTCAATAAAATAAGGGTAAAATGACAAAAATACTCTCAATTTCTGTCAAATCATTTTGATCTTTTGTTTATTAAATTGATGTCTTTTTTATCATTATTTAATATAATTTTTCATCCAAAACTAAAATGATTGATGATGGTTAATTTTAGGGACCACTTATATTGATTTCAAATCTCAGGACTAAAGTGAAGAATTATGCTAATCTCATGGACTATTTTGGCTAAAAGACCTTTTTTTTTTTTTTTTTTTTTATTTATTGAAATTTGATTTTTTTGCTGTTGTGCAGTAACAAATGAAATTACACCTTCATTTTATTTTTTTGTGTGGAGATATCTTACTTTTTGTCCTCTTTTATTTTTGTCATTATGCAGAAGTTCTGCAAATGTCATTTGAAAATGCACAACGAGATGGATGGGAAAACACTGCAGGTACATATTGGTTTCTTAGTTTTTTGAAGAGTTAAATAGGATGCCAAGTTGATGTTCAGACAATATAGAATATGAAATTTAAATAGTATGTGAAATTGATGTTAAAAATTGTATTTCTATTTACGAGAAGTATTTTACTTGTGCATCTATTGGCATGTACAGGTTTCAGTCAAGGCCACGATGCTGAACAGTATGATCAGAAAACCAAGGAACCCAGCTATTCTGACATTAAAATAAAGGAAGCTGCAGAAATCAGGCTGACTGCACCTTCTGACAAGGATGCTGGTTTTGCTTGTGGTGATTCTGATGACTGGTTTTCTGATCGGTGGTCATGCAAGGGTGGTGATTGGAAGAGGAATGAAGAAGCTTCACAGGAGAGGTCTTCTAGGAAGAAATTTGTTGTCAATGATGGTTTTCCATTATGCCAGATGCCAAAGTCTGGTTATGAAGACCCTCGATGGCATAGAAAAGATGAATTGTATTATCCTTCGCAAAGCAGAAGACTTGATCTACCTACTTGGGGTTTTTCATGTCCAGGTGAGATAAATGATTGTAGTGGCGTGAGCAGAACAACTCAAATTAAGCCTGCTGTCATAAAAGGAACTATGCTTCCGGTAGTAAGGATAAATGCATGTGTGGTTAAAGACCATGGTTCATTTGTTTCTGAGCCTCGCATAAAAGCCCGTGGTATGGAGAGGTACACGTCAAGGTCTTCTCGGTCATATTCTTCAGGTAGTGATGGGAAGAGATCATCGGGAGAAGGTGACACCCAGTTGAAACCAGTTGGTGAACAACGCTCACAGGGCTCTTCAAAAAGCATTACGTCTATTAACACCAACAAAGACCGTATTTGCACAGTCGATGAATTGAAATTGCACTTGGGTGACTGGTACTACCTGGATGGTGCTGGGCACGAACAAGGACCTTCATCATTTTCTGAGCTACAGGTCTTGGTTGATCAAGGAGTGATCTTAAAACATAGCAGTGTTTTCCGGAAATGTGATAAAGTCTGGGTTCCAGTGACATCTGCTGCAGAGACTTCTGAAGCTACGAATATGAATCAGCAGGAGAAGAACGCAAGATCTAGTGATACTTCAGGACTTCCTCCTTCACAATCTAAAAATGCTTTATTTGAAGAATCGAGCTCAAAGTCGAGTTGGTTGCACAACCTGCATCCTCAATTCATTGGTTATACATGCGGAAAGCTTCATGAACTGGTGATGAAATCTTACAAAAGCAGGGAGTTTGCTGCGGCCATAAATGATGTTCTAGATCCATGGATTAATGCAAAGCAGCCAAAGAAAGAGGTGGAGAAGCATATGTACTGGAAAACAGGTATGATCTATTTAATTTAAAGTCCATTCGCCCTCCTTCTTCTCTTTTCCTTGACCTCAATCTTTCTTATTTGTATTTTTTGGTTTGATTTCCCTTCAACTTGAACTTTGGTGTTCGTCATGAACTTTGGTGTTTGCAGATGGTGATGCACGTATTGCCAAAAGAGCCCGGTTGCTGATTGATGAAAGTGAAGAAGACTATGACATGGGAGATGATTTGCTAACAGTTGAAAAGGATGAGTCTACATTTGAGGATCTATCTGGTGATGCTTCTTTCTACAGAGAAAATAGTGGGAGTTATGGCTCAGAGATGAGAAGTTGGGGTTTATTAGACGGGCAAGTGCTGGCACGAGTCTTTCATTTTCTGAGATTAGACATGAAATCCCTTTCCTTTGCTGCTTTGACCTGTAAGCACTGGGGAGCTGCTGTCAGGTTTTACAAGGATATTTCAAGACAGGTTGATTTTTCATCCTTGGGTCCTAACTGCACTGATTCAGTGATTATGAACATTATGGTAGGTTTTGCTACTTTTTTGGCATCACAGAACGGTAGGAATCTATGTACATCCTCTTAAATCTAATGTAATTCTTTACTTGCAGAGTGGTTACGGTAAAGAAAAGATTAACTCTATGGTTCTGATTGGTTGCACCAACATCACCCCCCACACTCTTGAAGAGATCCTTAGTTCACTTCCTTGTTTATCTACCATAGATATCAGAGGCTGCAACCAGTTTGGCGAGTTGGTCATCAAGTTTCAGAATCTGAACTGGATTAAGAGCCGAAGTTCATCTGGTACGAAGATATTTGAGGAATCCTACTCGAAAATTAGGAGTCTAAAACAGATCAGTGAGAAATCTTCATCTGTTTCTAGAAGTAAGGTTCTAGGCAATGATATGGATGATTTTAGTGAACTGAAAGTGTACTTTGATAGTGTGGATAAGAGAGAAACTGCAAATCTATCATTCCGGGGAAGTTTGTACAAACGTTCAAAACTATTTGATGCTAGACGGTCTTCATCCATTCTATCTAGGGATGCTCGCATGAGGCGGTTGTCCATTAAGAAATCTGAACACGGTTACAAGAAGATTGAGGAATTTGTTGCTTCAAGTCTGAAGGATATCATGAAAGAGAATCCCTATGATTTCTTTGTGCCCAAGGTACTGGGAGTCATATAGCTGACCCCACTTAGTGGGAAAAGGCTTTGTTGTTGTTGTTGTTGTTTAATCTTTGTCTTGCATTTAGATTTGATTCCCTTTTTTTCCTTTGTGTTTACATTCAATTTTGTACAAATAGGTTCTGAAACTTTGTTACCTCCTTTTCTTATCCAGGTTGCTGAAATTCAGGATAAAATGAGAAATGGTCATTACATACGCCGAGGATTGAGTTCTGTCAAGGAGGATATCAGTCGAATGTGCAGGGATGCAATAAAGTAAGTTCTACCTTATTTTTCTGGTTCAGTCGAATTTCCATATCATAAAAGTTTCTCCCTCATATTATTTTCTGTGTGCAGAGCAAAGAATCGGGGGGATGCTGGAGACATGAATCACATTATAACATTGTTTATTCAACTTGCTACACGTTTAGAATTGGCTACTAAGTCTTCTAATGAAAGAGATGAGCTGATTAAGTCATGGGAGGATGATACATTTGCAGGGTTCTCTTCATCCTCGAAGTGTAGAAAGAAGCTCAATAAAGTAGCACCTGAAAGGAAGTACTCGAATAGGAGTAATGGCACTGTGAATGGTAGTTTGGATTATGGAGAGTGTGCATCTGATCGAGAAATCAGAAGGCGTTTATCCAGATTGAATAAAAAATCTATGGATTCAGAAAGTGAAACCTCTGATGATATGGACAAGTCTTCTGAATATAGCAAGAGCAATAGTGATAGTACTTCTTCAGATACAGAAAGTGACTCCGAAGTGAGGTCACAAAGTCAAACTGGGCAGTCAAGAGCAGATGGAAGCTATACACCTGATGAGGGTTTTGATTCTATGACTGATGATCGGGAGTGGGGTGCTCGCATGACAAAATCAAGCTTGGTTCCTCCTGTTACGAGGAAATATGAAGTTATTGAGGAATATGTTATTGTATCCAATGAGGAGGATGTGAAACGGAAAATGCAGGTATCTTTACCAGATGATTATGTTGAGAAACTTAATTCTCAGAAGAATGGAACCGAGGAGTCGGATATGGAGCTTCCTGAAGTAAAGGATTACAAGCCAAGGAAAATGCTTGGAGATGAAGTTATAGAGCAAGAAGTTTATGGAATTGATCCCTATAGCCACAATCTTTTACTTGACTCCATGCCAGAGGAGTTCGACTGGCCTCTTGCGGAGAAGCATATGTTTATTGAAGATGTGCTCCTTCGCACATTGAATAAGCAAGTCAGGCAGTACACTGGGAGTGGAAATACTCCCATGATGTTTCCCTTGCATCCTGTTGTTGAAGAAATCCTAAACGGTGCTGAGGAGGATGGTGATGTGCGAACTGTTAGGATGTGTCAGGCTCTTTTGAAGGCCATAGAGAGCCGACGTGATGATAAGTATGTGGCTTATAGAAAGGTAAACTTTTTGCCCCACGCCCTATTGACACGTTACTTCCTGGATTTATGACAAGCCATTAGGAGGATGACTATTCAATCTTGTGTAATTGTTAATTTGTTATGATGACCAGGGGCTTGGTGTCGTTTGCAACAAAGAAGGTGGCTTTGGAGAAGAAGATTTTGTTGTGGAATTTTTGGGGGAGGTATGGCTCCATTTTGTTTGTGGAGTTGTTTTCTCAGTCATTTAATCATCCCATATTTCATACGATGCTGGCTTATCTTATACCGTCGTGCAATTTTTTATCTTAAACGTCATGTAAAAGTAACTGTTTTTTGATCTTGTGATTGGCTAATTTCTACACTCAATGTAAAATAGGTTTATCCTGTTTGGAAATGGTTCGAGAAGCAAGACGGGATTCGATCTTTGCAGAAGAATAATAAAGATCCAGCTCCAGAGTTTTACAACATTTATCTTGAAAGGCCCAAGGTGCTTTTCGCTTGCACAAGTTCAGACATAGTTATATGCATGCTTTATGGATTAGCATCTGATCATTCATTGTTATTTGGCAGGGTGATGCCGATGGGTATGATTTAGTCGTTGTGGATGCCATGCATAAGGCAAACTATGCAAGTAGAATTTGTCACTCATGCCGACCTAATTGCGAAGCAAAGTAAGTTCAGTTGTTTTAGTTATGTTAGGCAGTACTTTCAATTCAACTTACCAGTGTACAAAACAGAGTCACCTTGCTAGTTATAAATTCACATATTTTACATTTAAGCTATTATATCTCTGTAAACATTGTGCTTCATATAGTTGTTTTTTTTTTTTTTTTGTTTTTTTTTTCGGTGGTTTGTTGCTAATGGTGTGCTACTGTTACTTTGTTGCTAATGGTGTACTATTATTACCTTTGTGTCTTGGTTTGTAATTATGATTTGAGGAGCATTTAATGTTTGGTTGTCAGAACATGCCTTTTCAGATCTTTATTGCTGGAATTTGAATTGCTGTATCCGCACTTGATAAACAATAATTCTTTTTTGCTTAGCTCTGGAGACCAATATATGAGAAGTTGGGATAAAATTTTGATGTTTATAATCAGGATATGGGTATGGCTTCATTCTGTGTGTTGAAGGCTTATATGTTGACAACAAGAAGGCTTTGACTTATATTGGACAGAAGTACCTGCAGTAATCTAGTGTTGCTTTGTAACTGCAAAATTTAATTGAATTTTTCCTGCTAGTTCTATAACATATAGTGTTTGTTGAATACAGAGTTACTGCTGTAGATGGTCGTTACCAAATTGGAATCTACACTGTACGAAAAATTCAATATGGTGAGGAGGTGACATTTGATTACAATTCCGTTACAGAGGTACGACTCTTTTTCCTATTGCCCTTGTGTATACTAAATTACAGTTTACATGACGACACATGTAAACAGTTGTGCTCATCTGTTTTATGACAGAGTAAGGAAGAATACGAAGCATCAGTTTGTTTGTGTGGCAGCCAAGTTTGCCGGGGAAGCTACTTAAATTTGACGGGCGAAGGTGCTTTTCAAAAGGTTAGAGAAAAGTAATGGATGCACTTAATTTTTAATGGATGCACTTAATTCTTAGAGGCTCAGATTCCTCGAGGGGAACTAAGTTATTTATTTTTCAACGTCGCAATCTTGGTGCCCAAAGACAGGAAGTCCTATGGGTATTCTTCTACTTTATTTTTAAAGTCATTTTTGTTTTATTAACTGGATTATTGTCCATTCATCAGGTGTTGAAAGAGTGGCATGGAACTCTTGATCGTCATCAGTTAATGCTGGAGGCTTGTGAGTTAAATTCAGTATCTGAGGAGGACTATCTTGAATTGGGAAGGGCTGGTTTAGGCAGTTGCTTGCTGGGTGGGTTGCCAGATTGGGTGATTGCATATTCAGCTCGCTTGGTATGTTGTTTTTCTGCTGCATCAGTGTTTCCTTTTTAGTAATTATTGAAATCAACTATCATTTATTTTCATTCCCTTTCATTTTGGTCGAAGGTGAGCTTTATAAATTTTGAAAGAACAAAGCTTCCTGAGGAGATTTTAAAGCACAATTTGGAAGAAAAGAGGAAGTACTTTTCAGATATTTTCCTTGAGGTTGAGAAAAGTGATGCTGAGGTTCAGGTAATTTTTTTTGACTAATCTATATGTGTGTTTAATATCATGTGATTCATGTCTTTTGTGGCTAATCCTGGCTTACCATTTCTTTTTGCATGATAGGCTGAGGGTGTGTACAACCAAAGGCTTCAGAATTTGGCTGTAACTCTTGACAAGGTGAATTTCTCTGCTATAACTAAGTGGTCGTTTTGTTATATACTATTGCACTGTATGAAGATATGTTCAATGATATCTACAGGTGAGGTATGTTATGAAATGCGCTTTTGGCAACCCCAAGGATGCTCCACCTCCGCTGGAAAGGTTAAGTCCTGAAGAGGCTGTTTCCTTTCTATGGAAGGGAGAAGGATCACTTGTACATGAGCTTCTTCAGAGCATGGCTCCTCATGTGGAGGAAAACTTGCTAAATGATCTACGGACGAAGATCCTTGCGCGTGATCCATCAGGTTCGGATGACATATGGAAAGAACTTAAGAGATCTTTATTATGGTGAGTAACATACACTTGAGTTAATTTTCTTATGCTAGGTTTTGACTCTGTAAATGATTCCAACTTTATGGGATTCTTTTTGTTTTCGAAGGTTGAGAGATGAAGTCCGGAATCTTCCTTGTACATACAAGTCTAGAAACGATGCTGCTGCTGACTTGATCCATATTTATGCTTACACACGGTGTTTTATTAGAATACGGGTATGTCTTTGTAATGAGAACCTCTAAAAAATTTTCCAATTGATTTGTAATTCTGCTATTTGAATATGAAACGTGCTTCATTTTACTCTCTTTCAGGAATACAAAACTGTAACTTCGCCACCAGTATTCATTAGTCCACTTGACCTAGGCCCCAAGTACACCGAGACGCTGGGATCAGGTTTTCAGGAGTATTGCAAGACGTATGGGGAGAATTATTGTTTAGGGCAGCTGATTTTTTGGTATAGCCAGGCTAGTGCAGAGCCAGATTGTAGCCTGGCAAGAGCAAGTAGGGGTTGCTTGTCGTTACCAGACTTCAGTTCTTTCTATGCCAAGGTTCAGAAACCTTCACGGCAGCGTGTTTATGGCCCAAGAACAGTGAAGTTTATGCTAGCGAGGATGGTGAGTTTCGGTTTTTCATATATTTATGCCTTTAGGTTCTTTTTATGGCGTTGCCCATATATTCCAATGCTTTTTCAGGAGAAGCAGCCGCAGAGACCTTGGCCCAAGGATCGAATATGGTCGTTCAGTAACTCTCGAAAAGTTATCGCCAGTCCTATGCTAGACGCTGTTGTGAATAAATCTCATTTGGACAGGGAGATGGTGCATTGGTTAAAGCACAGACCCGCGATGTTTCAGGCTATGTGGGATCGATGAAGTTTTGTAAGTGTCGGGAACTGGCAGCGGGATTACTGAACCTAACCCTCTCTTTTTTTTTGTTTTTCAGTTGTTTCGGAATGATTTCGCGATTTTAAATTTACGGCTGCCCCGTTCAATGTGGGGAGTTGGTAATCATTCCAAAACAGCGTTTCGTCGTGCTGCTTCCCCCATTCTTGTGTACAGGTTTTTCATCTTTGTAATTTGTAATCCATTATGTAGCAGTAGAACATTTGTTGTCGTCCACTTGTAATTTTAGAGAGAAATGAAAGTAGAGAAGAAGCCAAATGCATAAGCTCATGTTTTTTTTTTTTTCACTTTTCTTCTGTCCCAAGTTACTTGCAGCAATTTTATTCTCTAACGACGGGCCCTATGCTCACAATCCAATCGCCGCGCGTTTTATCAAGGAAATTTGATAAAACGATTTTTTTTCACTTACGTTCTGAAAAATGATTTTCGCACTCCTGTAATTCATTTCTCTTTTACAATCGTTTGCTGGTTTCTGTCTCTTAATTTATTGTTCATTTACTCACGATTAGAGAGTTTTTATTTTTTTATATTTTTTTAGTGGACTGGAATTATTCATAACCAGGGCAAATTGCCAAACATACAAAAAAAGGTCCATAGAGATGCAAGCAATAGATAAAACGAGAAGCATAAATAAGGCAGTGTAAAGGGGTAGAAGGGAATAGGACGCTGCATCAAATACTAGGATGTGGTTCCCTACACTACCATTACAAGAAATTAAGAAAGGCAAGATAATTTGTTATTGTTAAGAATATAAATCAATGAAGATAAGTGTTGGTTAATTCACGCATAATTACACAACTCCGTATTTTTAAACGATGCCAAACAGTCTGTTGCCATGCTACAAGCTTAAAAAGGATCCCCCTTCGGCCTGATTTTCACCAGGGTGGATAACTTACCCTTCGATAATTGATGTCCTTATTTGCTTTTTACTTTTTTTTATTGGTAAGTTGGATAATGACGTCATTCTTGTTAGGTTGTCTAAGGTGTAGGCTTACTAGTACTTTTTATAGTCTTTTAATTATTCCTGCTCAATAAACTTCTGCTCGCCACGTCACGAGTTCTTTTAATTTACCTGTCGGGACTGCCACGGGCAATGTTCAAGCCTTCTCGGGAAATGCTCAAAACCTGCTGCGCGATTGAATTTCGAGCAAAAATTTTTGTAAAAATTAACCGATGTTTTTTACCGTAGTTGATAGTTTAATTTATATTTTGCTAATTATTTTTTACGGTGAATTAATCCAACTTTGAATCGTCCGTAATTATGATTTTGATGTGAGAAATTGAAAACGAAGGGTTCGAGTGCCCTTAACTTCAAAACAAGACATATTAATTGTTGACTGTCTTTGAAAAAAAAAATTAATAAAACCCACGCCCAACATCATCCCGTACGCTAATCAGGTATTGTCTCCATAAAATCCCCAAACTACCCCTGTCCTTTTCGCTCCCAAAGGCAAAACAAATGCCCCTCGCGCCCTCTCGTTTCCCTCGCTGGCAAAATGTCCGTACTCTCCCACGTAGAAATGGAAACGAAACGCGAATGATGAGAGAGAGACAGCAGACGCAGCATGCTCTGTGTGCTCTGTGTACGGACCCTGACCTCACCAGCCGCCTTACTGCATGATCGCCACTCCCCGGGCGCCACGTGTCCATCCCCACCGCCTTCCTCGTAACGTCCCTCTGATCATATATACATTCTCCCTCATATTCTCACAATCGCACAGGAACACTGTTGAGAGGAGAGAGAGAAATGGATGAGACTGAGAGACAGCTGCGTAGGGCAATTCTGTCATTGTCGGGCAGAGCTGACGGAGGTGGAGAGAAGGACACTGCTTTTGTCACTACTGGTTGGGATGAGGAGGAGGCCACCTTCAACGCCATCATGTCCTCCGGCATCACCTTCCAGCCCTTCCTCCCCATCACCGCCTCCGCGTCCGCCGCTCACCACCACCAAAACCCAATGCTGCCGTCATCCCCGTCTCTAAAACCCCTACCCTACTCCAATTTCGCTCAAGACACCCTCACCAATGTTAGCCCCGCCACCGCCGCCGCCTCGGACTACTCTCAAATCCCGAGGTTGGCTAAACACGAACCCATTTCCAGCTACCAGGACTACTTCCCAACCCCAACATTTTACGATTACCCACCTGATCTCAACTTGCTGCCCAACACCCATTTCTCTCCTCCTCCGCCGCGTCATCTCCAGCACCACGACTGTGAATCCAACGACTACTCCTCCATCTTCCAGCACTTGCCAGATCTCCTTCCTCTCGACCCATCTAACTATTTCCCATGTTCTTCATCTTCCTCATCATCCTACAAACGCCCCCGATTCGTCGACTCTCATCACTTCTGCTACCCGTCAGCTTCTTTCGCCGCCGCCGTCGCCGCCCAGCATTTCCATCCTTATCCTCCTCTACCCCATTTCAACAACACCACTCTGTTCCCACCTCTTAACAACAACTATGGCTTCCGACCCTCCTCTTCTTCTCAATCTTCATCACACGCCAACGCTCCTTCTCCCCATCCCCCTCCTCCTCCGGCTCCGCACGTTAAAACTAAGAGAAGGATTACAACCCCATCCCCGTCCCTACCCGGCAGTGCTCTCGCTCGCGAGCGGAGGCAGAGGCTGAGCGACAAGACTCGCTGCCTGCAGAAGCTCCTCCCCTGGGACAAGAAAATGGATTCCGCCACCACTTACGGAGAGGCCTACAAGTACATCCAGTTCCTCCAGGCTCAGCTCTCCGCCCTCCAAACCATGCCCGTCCTCACTCCGCCCACCACTTCCATTGCTACCAGTAGCGGCCGCGTCGGCGGCGAGCTGGAGAGGCTGAGCCGCAACCAGCTTCTGCAGGTTCTGCTCAACTCCCCTTCTGCTCAGACCGTCATGTACTCCCGCGGCTGCTGTGTGTTTTCGGTGGAGCAGTTGGATCAAATCAGCCGCCGATTCAGCCGCAAAATGGGGTCCTCCACCGCCTCCAAATCATCTCCACCGTCCTCGTAGTTCCATTGATTATCATTCTCTCCTACTAAGTAAAACCATCTCCACTAATCATGGTTACTGCTGCTTAATATTGGGTTATCTGCGTCTAATCACCTTGATTTCTAAAGTTGGTTTTTTTTTTTAATTTAGTCTGATTTGTCTCTTACCTTTTTTGATGAAATTAGTCAGAGTTTCGGTCAGTGGGTCACTCCTTTTGGAACAGATTGCTGGTTGGAATTAAGGCCATTATAATACAAATTGGGTTCTCTCCTCTGTTTTTTTTTTTTTTCTCTTTTTTTTTTTTTTTATTTGAACGGTTACGATTAAATCATGTCAATATTTTATATTAATTTTTTATAAAAAAAAAAATAAAATAAAAAATATGAGAAGAATGATGGAAAAATGAGGAAAGAGAATTCTAGTTCATTATAATATTAGGAGAGAAAGTGACAGTTAACCATAGCTATGGCCTATATCTAGAGACGGGAAACAGAGAACACCAATGAAAAAAGTACTTTAATATTGTAATTTGGGAAATTTACAGTTTGGAAGAAGAACCGGGTGCTTTATTTTCTTGCTATTAAGTGGTCGCACAAATCAAATCACGTGACGCGTTAGCGAAGATTTTCTTATCTAATAATCACGTTCTAGTCACTTAGTATTATGGTGTAATAGTATTCTTTTTTATTTGTAAGTGAGAGGAATTATAATCGATTACTTATAAAGGTGAATTTGAACCACATTATTACTAGTTTATTGTGAGATTTAACTTACTCCCCTAACCCCTTAATACAGTGGTGGAGCCAAGAATTTACAACGATGGAGGTAAAAAAATAGCTTTCAAAACTGATTATACTTCCATTTATAATTGTCCACGATGTGTTTCATATTTTGGAAACGTTGTATCACACCATCATTATCAATAAAATCAATATCATTCTCAATATATACAACCAAACTATCACTCAACCATTCATCACCCATCCTATTGCATTGTGGATTCTTCACAATATTCATCATCAGAAAGCTCTTTCAACGGAAGTGTCGCAACGGATAAAATTATTGCTAATTTCACTAGCAAGTACACCAAGGGGTACCTACTGTCTAGACTTGGCATTCGTGTCGTATTTTTCGTGTTCTTGTCGTTTTCGTGACATAGCTGATATTTTAACGAGTCGTGTCGTGTGACATCAGTTAAAGTAAGCACCCGAAATTGACCTGTTAAATAAATATTTTAAATCAATAAATAATGAAAATGAAAAACATAATTTGACAAACAAAAAATGGAAAACATAATACTAAATTAGTATATGCATATTATATTGTCACATATATATTACTGCAAAACATAAAAAAAAAAAAAAACATTTGTCTTTCAAGGATTACATACTCCAAAAATAGAGCCTAATGAAACAAACATTAGTACATTACTGCAAAATATCAAATGTTCAAGGATATGCAAAATAAAGGGACTTGTGTTTCAAGGTTGAGGAACCTTACATGTTTATATATGCTTTCATATTTTTCAGACTTGTACATTAATGATCATGAATTTATTTATTTTGAACTCCCTTAAAAATACTATTCATGAGGGTTTGTATGGTTTTAAAAATTCAAACGACAATATACCGAGGCTCAAAGCCAAAGGATACGATCACAAGCTTTTGCATATTTTTTCACATTTTTTGCACTTGTAAATTAATTATTATAATGTGTTTGGTATTTTTTAATTACTTGCTATTTTTACTTTTAATGCGTTTTATAATTTTTTTTTAATCTCACTCTTTAAAATAAAAATAAATAAAACTTAAATTTTTTAATTTTTAATTTTATATAGAATAATAATACATATTTAATATATAATATATACATATACACTATGGCTATTGTATTTTATAGTAATTTTTGTAGTTTAGAAACATGAAATCATCAAAATAACTTTTTCTTAACCAGTCGAATCGGGTTACCCGTGTGTCACCTTCGTGTAAACCTGTTAAAGACCCATTATTAATGAGTTCTTCTCGTGTGACCAGATGACGACCCAATTAGTTATTATGTTGACCTGAAACTTGTTATTTTCATGTCGTGTTAACTGGTTGTGTAAGAAATTGCTAGGTCTATGTCTATCCCTATTTGTCTTCAATAACTTTTGTGAAAGACTACTAATTCCTTTTAACACAGAAAATTCATTGTGCAAACACATTTCAAAAATATTATTTTTAAGTTCATCTTCAAGAAGTATGAGCTCGATGTCTGGATAAAATTGAGCAAGACGAACTAACTCAAACACATAATATAAGTTTGATCAGATTAACAACCACTGACTCAACCAAAACTATAAGCCAAAAATTTAAAAATAAATAAAAACCTAATTCAGCTCTTTTAGTGTTCGGTGTTCGAGGCTTGACTAATGGAACTAAGTTAATAAACTAATGGAAAATTACGTCCAATGTCCAATGGAATTTGGAATTAACTAATAGAAAATTATGGATATTCTATAATATTTCATCTGTTACTACTTATATACAATATTCGATGCCCAATATTTCATCTGATGTTGCTTGCAGCTATATGGGTCAGAAAAATTTTCAAATGGATAAATTTAAACCTACCGGGGTCAAGGGATGCCAATGCCCCCGCATTGGCTCTGATAGTGCCTTATAAATAATATCATTTGTTCAAAAAAAAAAAAAAAAATCACGTCCTATGAATACCCACAAAAAAATGGAGAGACCATTGAAGTGTAAGGTCCATCAGGTCTGGGTCCAGATGAATATGAAAGTAGGCCCAAGAAGACCCAAAGAGTCTCTATCCTGTAGGTCATGAATTTGCAGAATTGAGTGGATCGTAAAGACCCACATACACACACCTGCAGATCCCAACTATTCCTCATTCAAATTCAATTGCTTCTTCCTATCCTAAAATGGAATAATCCCCTACCGACCTAAAATGAAGGGGAATACCCCCCAATTTCAGAAAAGTTAAAGAGTCACTATAGAGGATATGAACATGAATGTCCTAAAATTTAGGATTTGTGTCAAAATACTTGGAGTATTTTTACTGCCTTTCTATAGAGAATATGAATATGAGGGGGCGTTTGTTGCGCCGGACTATCTCGGACTGGATTAGCTTCAAGGACTAAGCTGGACTGGCTTAGACTAGACTAAACTGGACTAACTTAGTGAAGCGTTTGGTGCAGTATTGGACTAAGAAGCTGGATAATAACAAATTATAATATTATATTATTTAATATATAAATTATTAATATTTTATTATGATCTTATCTTTTTCTTCATTTTTTTCCTACCATTTCCTCGTTAAATTGGATGAAGTTAGCACCGCCAAAAAATTCATCACCATCCCTGGACCGAAATCTTAGCTTTGAATGCTCGAATCTGTCATGGATTTGAAGAAGCCCAAATAGGCCGAGACTTCCAGGCCATTTGCCAGCCACATTCGACCACATTTTGGCCTCAATTCATGAAAATCGTAATCATGTCACTCCCAGCTTCAATTTGGTATATTTTGTATGAAAGTTGGTTGTGAAATGGATCTGAAAGAGAGTCGGAAAGTTAATGATTGATCTAGGTGACCGGAGATGACGAGGAGTTTGTCGAGAGTGGTCGTTGAGCATGACGAGGACGAGAAAGAGAGGATAGTCTTAGCTAGTCCCATGGTTATTGGGGGGTCTCGCTAAGACCTCTTAGTGAAGGGTTTTGTCCATGCTAGTCCCCTTTAGTCTCATTAATGTTAGTCCCAGCATGGAACAAACACAGTATTGGACTAATAGCTAGTCCAGTCCAGTCCAGTCCAACTTAGTGAGGGCAAACAAACGCCCCCTGAATGTCCTAATTCGACAGAAAAGAAAAAAAAAAGAATATGGTGAATGTCCTAAAATTATTAATGGAAAATAATTTTTGCACTCAGACGTCTCATTTCATTTCTAATTTTTATTAAGCTATTGGATTGAATCAATTCAATGAAGATTAATGAAAAGAGAAATGATAAACGCATCAGTTTTCCTCTCTCACACACCCTTGTTTAATTTTGTCTTTTATTTGTGTTTGTTTTATTCAATCCACTGAATAGGGGGGCTTGTGAGAGGCTAAAAAGGGTAATGCTAGAGAGACCAAAATTTTAAACTAAGTTTGTAAACTAAATGATTTGTCACTAATAGAAAATAAGGACGTTAATCAACGCTTAAATAACAATAAAATCATCAACATCCATATCATTTGGTTTATAAAATTTGGTTTAGAAATTTGATCTCCCTAGCATTATTACCCTACTAAAAAAAGTGTGTGAGAATTAGCTCCCTAATAGATACAAAAATAAAAAGAAAAGTGTAGACTGAAAAAATGAAAGAGTGAAAATCACTGTCTGATAATATATTGGATGACCAAGCAATTATTGGTATATAGGAGGGCATATTAATTATTGGTGACTAGCCAAATTTTCAATGGTTCCAAAATCTCCTTTGTTGTTAAAACTTAAAAGTCAAAAAGGTTCCGAAATTACACAGAGATTCACCTTGTGGCATATGTGGGGGAGGTGAAAGATGCTGAGGCACGCCCCTCTATGAGCTGGTTTATGCCCTACTTTTCTTGCTCCCCCATCAAAGGTATCCACGACCCAAGAAAAAAGAAGGGAAGCAAGTCCCTAAAGCAAATTAAAGCTCTCACTGTGTAAACAAAGGAAGCTTTTTAGCCACTTATACCACCTCATTTGAAATCCTTGCTTCCACACATACTTTCCTCTCTAGTCTATCCCCTTTCATACTTATTCCCCTTGCTCTTTCTTCCCATTAATATTTCTGCCACACATCTCATCCTTCTAAAATCTCAGCACAGCAGAGAGAGAGAGAGAGAGAGAGAGAGAGAGAGAGAGAGAGAGAGAGAGAATGGTTAAGATAGGAGGGTTTTTGGTCTGCCTCTTGATCGTGGTGATGGACATTGTAGCCGGGATTCTTGGCATCGAAGCAGAACTCGAACAAAACAAGGTACACATAGCCTCCAATTTTTTTATACAAGCAATAATGAGAAAGGAGAGTAGTCAAAAACAAGATCGCGGTTGTGCATGAGTGAATGCTTTCAATTAGTTGAACTATAAACCTCTTGCCATATAGCGTCGCTTTTAAAGTTCGTTTTGAGCACTACACTCACAATTTTAGGGAATGTTTAATTTCAAATATTTTGTTCATATATAATATTGTTGCTTGCAACAGGTGAAACACTTGAGACTCTGGATTTTTGAGTGCAGAGAACCAAGCCATGAAGCATTCAAGCTAGGGTTAGCTGCAGCCGGACTTTTGGTTCTTGCACATGTTGTTGCCAACTTACTTGGTGGATGCAATTGCATTTGTACTCAGGATGAACTCCAAAAGGCTCCTCCTAACAAGCAACTCTCAATGGCATGCCTCGTCTTCACTTGGTACATGTCTATAATCAATGATTAGGTTAATCGCTTAAGAGTTATTTGATAATCATTTCGTTTTCAGTAATTTCAATTTGTTTAGATACCAAAAACTAAAATTAAAATTAATTGTTAATTTTTGTGTTCTTAATATATATATGGGCGTCATTGATGATCAGGATTATTTTGGCCGTTGGATTGTCCATGCTGGTGATAGGGACTTGGTCAAACCACAAGTCAAGAGCTTCATGTGGCTTCACACACCACCATTTTCTGTCGATTGGAGGCATCTTGTGTTTTGTTCATGGGCTGTTTTGTGTAGCTTATTACATATCTACCACCGCCTCGACTGTCTAATAGTTTAATTAGTTTCACTCAGCCATGATACAAGGATTGTTGCCTTGTTCCTTTGCTAAATTAATTTACTAATCCATCCCTTTCATGCTACGTCATATCTCCTGACTCGGAAACTCTTTACTACTCTTTCGATACGAGACAATAGTAGTGCTAATCTTTCTTTTACTCCCTTGATTAATTTAATACAATGTGCTAATCTTTCTTTTTTATTGATTAATTGAATACAAGGAATGAATCATTTAATAATCGTTTTGTGTCTTATGTTGACTTGGTCTTTGGATTGAAGACCTTTTAATTTTTACCAAAATGTTCTCTTTGATGTTATATCAGTTCTTGTAATAAAACGATTATCGTTTTGCTCTTAAAAAAATTAAAGTGGAGATTGCACGTCTGATATCACTACACAGAGTGGTAGTGAGAACTTAGAACCATAAGATTAGCTCAACATCAATACACAAAACATGTGAACTTACCAAATAATTATTTATATTGCATCATTTAATCTTTGTCACTTAATTGTGAGTGATGATAGGGATAGGATTAGAAATTAAAGAGATTAAACGATCTTTGGTGACCCCATTTGAAGTTCCAATACCGTCTCCATGTTGAAAAATAGAGTGAGCAGTCCGAGCCATATTCAGTGACAGTTTTACAATTGATTTTGGTATAGCAGTTTTTGAACTCTCCTCATTAATCTTCTTCCACGAATAGCAGATCAATTCGTTTATGTAGTCCAGCGCTTCTTCTTCAGATGCGCCTCTTTCTTTCATGCAGCACTCAACAGATTTTGCCACATCACCTCTCTCACTCTCAGCCTTAGTTAATTCCAAGAAAAAAATAAAAATAAAAATCTAATTATCATATTTTCCATTTGATAACCATTTTAATTTTAATTTTTATTAAAAAATGTGTTGTGATTTTCACACACCCTTAACTACTTTTCCCACACTCCTCCCTATTTTTTAATACTTAATTGGTATCCTACTATTAATCTTTCATATATACCCTTCATACTTTTTTATGGTAATTAATGAAAGATTAAATAGGGAGGGGTATATATGGAAGATTAAATAGTAGGATACCAATTAAGTATTAAAAAATATGAAGGGGTGTGGGAAAAGTAGTTAAGGGTGTGTGAAAATCACAAACCTAAAAAATATAGAACTATCAAACAACTCATGTAGATATAACACGTATATATTTACCTTGGAAGTGCCCAAATCATCGCTAAGCCGAGTCATTAGAGATGACCAATATATTATTTGAGAGCCATGCTTAAAGGAGTCAAGTGAGGTTTTTGTTATGTTGCGTCCTTGCAACAACAAATAAGCATGGAGAATTGCTTCAGGACCACCCACTGAAGTCCATGCATTCTTTAAGTACTCTTCTAGGGTTGGTGTGTATCCACAGTAAAACCATCGTGCCTCCACCAGATATGAATTACAAAGATTTACCCACTGCAAGCGCACACACAAAATAGTAAATAAATCATAAATTAAGAAAATAGGAAATATAGAATAACAGAGCCAATATCTTTATGTTGTAATTTGCAAGCTGCTAATTTATTATTGCCAAACGTACCCTAGTTATCCTACACGCTCTAGTCAAGTGTTTTTGTTTAGTTAGCAACAAAGACCTTCAAGTCTAACATTGTTAGAGACGACCTCCAGTACAAAAAGGATGTTCTTAACCAATTAACTCAGCTACAATTTCTGTTGTTAGTTACCTCTTTCTTAATATAGGGGAGGACGCTTAAACCATTGTTTTTAAATACGTTATCAGTTACTTCATTCCCAAAGTTGAGCAAGGCTGTATAAATTGGCTTCATGTACTCGGGAAGCTCCTCCTTGTCCTCCATATTCCACCTGTATTAAACAAGAAAAAATAAATCAGAGGAACAAAAAACCAAATCACACGTTATACATATATAATTGCATCTATTAAGTACTTTTTTTTACCAAGATAAATTACATCTTAGTGCTTAATTAATGACTTACCTATGTACTGCATCTGTAAACAGCTCAAGTTCATCCAAAAATCCATAAACATCGTACATGTCATCAATTACTGTTAATATGCAAACGAATTTGGTGAGGCCAATCCTGCAATTCGAGAATTGGGGCTCATAATTGATTCCCATTGCCCACAAATAGTTCTCCATCAATCTGTCTCTCGAAAAATTTGCCTTATGTTCAAAATCCAAATCCGTCCACCACCTGCATTTTTTGGATATATAGTCTTAATTAGTCTAATTTAACTAAACACCTGCATCAATGTAAAAACTGAGCATTGTAACGTAAGATTGTAATTAAGCAGAACATTGAAAAAAAATGGCAGGGGCGAACCTACGTTAAGTGTGCTATATATGTGGTCGTTTATTTTACCAACATGTGTGGATATGAGGTCGCGGTATATATAAGCGTTATTTATGTGGTCGTTATCTTGCCGACATGTTTGGATGAGGTTGCATTATATATATTATATAAGCATGCAGGACCCAACCTAAAAGTAAGTAGGACAAACCCTGTCCTCCACCATGTGTGAAAATAAAATCAAATTGCAAAAAAATAGAAAACAAAGTTCACATTTCTTGCCTTGATAGCTCCTTTATCTCCCTCTGATATACTGATTGGACAAGATTATAATCCAATTTGGCTAATTCAAGCAAATCGATGTTCCTAGAATCATCCTTTTGGTATATATCAATGAAACTTCGAGCTTCTATCCTCGGCATCCTCCAATGTAAGGGGGTTTCCATTGATTGCTGAACTAGTTGCTTCAATAAACCATCTTTACCCTCCAATGTTCCCAATAATTGTCTCAACCTTTTGGCACTAAAACTTTTGGCTTCCTCCAAAACATGCTCTTCCCCAAGCATACCAAGGTGTGAGGCTTCATACAAGCTCAAAAGTCCTTCAATGTCCTTGCTTAAGCTATCCTCAAATCTTCCGTTTCCAGCTCTAAACTTGTTAAACACATCTGCTCAATCATTTTGTCACCATAACTCACAATTAATTAAGTGCCGCTTCGAAAACATTTAATACTAAATGTGAGCAACAAAATAATTTATGTGCTTTTTACCTGGGCTAATAGGGATGCCATGTTCCCGTAATATCCGAAACTGCAAGGCAACGGTGTGAAGATTACTTGATGTACTGGCAGTACTGGAAGAACCAAGGCTAGTTAGAACTGCTTCGATTTCTTTTTCGAAATGATAGGCCACTCCCAATCGCTGCATTGAGTCGATAAGCTTTAACATTGATAAAGTGCTAGTAGTGCCTTGAGTACTACTAGTTGATGCTGCCAGCAACGTTTCGGTAACGTTCTGCTTTAGACGCTCCAATTGCGTCCCATGCAATTCATACTGCGCAAGGATGAAAACAAATAAGCCAACAAAATAAATGATCAAGATGTGTTCATGTATGAATGAGTCATGAAACTTGCAAACGATCGAAGTATACGTACCGTGTAATGAGTGGTGAATGAGTCGATGAGTTTGGAATCCCAAACGGTAGGATGGTATTGAGCGAATCGCCGTCGCACTGCCGGAGGATTACTGATAACCTTCGATGACGGTGATGAGTTTATTGATAAATAAAGGAAGGAGGGTTGTTTTCCTACTGTTCTTTGAAGCAGAACTTTTGGAAGATGGATTAATCCTTGATACCTACTGTTAGTTGAGACCAAAGAGGGAGAGAGCGAGGAGAATGTTGTAAGTGCCATATTTGTTATAATTTAAGATTGATTGTTCGTACTCACTAGTGCTCAATGCTTGTATATATAAGCAAGTTTTACTTTTTTTTTTTTGCGAGTTCCGTTCTTTGGGAAAAAAGAAGATGAATCTTTTTTCCTTTTTTATTTGTTTTAAGTTTTTCATTATATAAAAACAAAAATTGTGTTTTAGTATTTAAATATTTTTAATTCATTATGACAATAGTTAATTAGACTTGTGGAAACTAGTTATGTGACACATCAACATATAACATAATTTTTGATAGAATTATGACGAAAGACCACATTGATTTGCGACCCTCATTAACTTTCAACCACTATTTTAATCGATTTTCAATTTTAGAGACCATATTGATGGTGCGGGTCAGTTTCAAGGACAACTTGTGATAAAAAAACCTTATTTACAAATTTGATTTGTCGTTTGTCATTTTAAACAATTAAAAGAAAATAAATAAAGGTGACAGCAAGTCATCTTGCACATTTCAACGTGAGAATTTTTAATTTAACATTTTTATTCCAAATTTAAGATGCTTTGTCCTTGTTTAAAAATTTGATTTGTCGTTTGTCATTTGAAACGATTAAAAGAAAGTAAACAAAGGTGACTCCAACTTGGGTTATTTTAACTTTGAGAGTTTTTAATTTAAACATTTTGATTCAAAATATAAGATGCTTCGACCATTAAATTGTCTTTTAAAGAAAAATTGTCTTATAAAACTTTTCAAGTGAAACACATTTTGGTATATTAATGTTGGATAATTTTATTCGAACCTAATCTAACCTAATTATTTATTCTACACCCAATAGTACTTTTTGTGTATTTTATATTTACAAATTTGTCTAAAAAAATATTGGATGTAGAGAGAAAATTGTTAAATTATCCTACCACCGAACCCAAACCCAATCGGAAAAATGAAATATTACAGTTTCGGCGTTCTTCTTCCCTTATTCTCCTGCGTCAAACTCACCTCCTCCCAATCCGACCTTTTGATGAATGTGCAAAATGCTACAAACAAATTCTTGCACGAACATGTCATGGGATTCCTTCATAGGCAAGGTATCCAATTACACCATGGTCCATAGACTGTAGATATATAGAATTTCATAAAAACCGAAAAACAACCCAACCTGAAGAGGGATGAAGAGAAAAGAGCAGTGGTCACTGCGTCATGGGAGCCACCATTGGCAGCTGGTTAGGTCGTCGGAAATCGAAAAGAGGGATGGTGGGAGAACGATAAAAAGTAAAAAGAAGAGGAAGGAGGAGAACGATAAAAAGAAGTGGAAGGGAATTGTTACTTTCAATCAACGATGTTGCATAAGTCTCCCCGGAGCTTGGATTGGATTCGTCGGAGCAAACGGAGGGGTTGTGATGTTAATGCCGGTAGCTGGATTTTGAATTTTAGTTTGTTTTTCTTATTTAATTTAAGGATAAAATT